TTATGCCAGGTATTTTGATTGCTTTTGATTGCGGGCATGGGGAGAAGACAGCTGTGTATATATTAGGGTGAAGAAGCCAATCCGTTTAACTTTTTGTCAAGTAGAACAGTGTGTGTAGACTGACAGCACAAAAACACACACACAGCACTTTAGGTGTGAAATCCAGAGGCTTAAACGTGTACAGCCTCACTTTCTCTGCTTGTGGTTCACGCTAGATCTCAATGCTGAAGTCCCAGTTATATGTTGGCTTAATGTGGTAACACCGCTGCAGTTCTGCTCTTTGGTACCACCATCCATTGGACCCCAACAGAGTCTAAGTCGTCAGAACTGGACCACACTTGGGGGCAGTTCATCTGCTCTCCCTGTTTAGTTCTTTCTCGCCTTCCTGTCTCCATCCCTCCTTCTTCGAGTGCAACCCTCAAAACCAGCCTCATTTATCGTGGTCAAGGTCACAGCTAGCAGCCATTATAAGTAATTCTCCACTGAGCCTCAGGCAAATACTGTACACTTGGCTAACTGACAGTACATCCCTGTGGAATAGCATTCACAGGGTAAGGGAAGGGATGTGTGTATGTGTGTGTATGTGAGTCTCCCAAATGCACAAATGGCTCTCCCAATAACTAATACCTGCTGCAGAGCATGAAGTAATTGGGCCAGAGGAAAGGGACACAGAACATTCATCACCAGGACTATTTGCAGCTAAGTTCTGCTCTGAGCCCGAATCCATTCTAATGCAGCTAATCAATTATTGTTCTGAAGGCTTAAAGGTGGACACGGAATTGGGACAAATTAATATCGTGGACCAGAATACGTTATTATCTTCCGTTTTATTGCCGGCACAACCCCTGGCCTTGGTTGATTCTCTTTGATATCCATGACATGAAAACCTCTCTCATTGCCTCATCATAAATAAGCACAGCCGTGACAGCCTCATTATAGGCAATCAATACATTCGCTGTGATAAAAACGACTGGCTGGCAGGCGGCTGATGTGTTCAGGGTCGGGATAACACCAGGCCAGTGTGGGAAGATATGATGATGGAGAATTACTAACATTAATCACTTTAGTCACAGAGATTACCCATTCTTGCTTTATTAGAAATCTCCCGCAGGGCAAAGAGAGGAGAGAGCAGGTTGGGAAGGGATATACTGTACACAGCTGCCCGACACAGCTTTGCTCAGCTGTTAACTTAGAAAAGGTCAAACTGAATCTGAGAACATGCCTTACCTTGAGGCTGGGAACCCTGCATATAATGTGTATTAGTGAAAAGGGCTGTGCAATTATACAAAAGAACTGTCAGACACTCAAATTAATGATCATCAAAGAGGAGCAACTAGTGTTAATTTGGGTTTTTTTCTCTAATTTTTCTACTCTTTAAAACTGAGTTACAGCAACAGCCTGAAGGACTCACAGCAGGGGAAAGGAGGGAAGATACAAAACAGGAAGACTTTCAAAAGCAAGAAATCTTTGAAACCTGCAATAACTGATTTTTTTGTCCACTTGGAGGCACTGGAAACATTTTGTGAACACAACATTGACATATCAACACTGTTGATGTGGTGAAGAGTTGGCAGGGCTACTTTAGAAATATAATCCAACACAATTACGATTGTATTATTGTATTGTAATGGAATGTAACATGATTACTTTCCATTACTTTTAGATTACCTCACTACCAACTATGTTAATAAAAGCAAGAGAAAGTAAATTTCAATAAGAAGAATTGTGTAAGTGTCTTCAATAACACAACAGAAAATATTTGAAAAGAAAATGGAAAATGGGAAGAGACAGATTTTTTTTTTAGCATTTTAGACCATGTGTCCTCTGCTGAGTGTAAATTTAAAGAAAAACTGAGGTATTTTAAAGTTGTAATCCTGCTAGATAATCCCCATTTTTACTAAATGTAACTGTAATCTAATTACGTCTATTTTTCTGTAACTGTAATGGGTTACAGTTACCTTTTTTTAATGTCCTGATTATGTACTCAGTTACATGTAATCTGTTACTCCCCCAAGCCTGAGAACTTGTCGATTATATATTGATTATAGCCAATTTAATGTCTGCCACTAAGCCACTGAAGCAGTCTGGTAATTGTAGTCAAGGATATTTGAAGCAGCTGTTGCTAATTTGTATTTCTATTGTAGTGTAACTGATTGAAGTGATAATGACATAATAGGAATATAACTATTTCCCCCCCATTCTTAATGTAAAACATGCAAACAATTTAATTGAATTTTCCCCTGGAAACAAATGCTGCTTGGAGGAAAGAAGAATCATCACTGGCTGTCTGTGGTCATCAGCAGAAAGATAATTGGGCCACATTGACAGTCTGGCAGGTGCCATCATTCTACATTAAGTAGAGAGGAAGGACATAGACAGGTACTTTCCAGGGAAACAGAGCCAAATATAGCTCCCATTTCCAGTAAGGAAAATGCACAACACAACAAGGTCTGGCGTCACGTGCAGACCTTAATAGAGACAAACACACACAAAGAGCCTTGTAGAGACAGTCTTGTGAGCTGCACTGTTCAGCCCAATATACCAATATATCCTTTAAAATGGGCTGCTTTGTGGGTTAAGATTTTTTTCATTATCAATTATTCAGCAGATTATTTTCTGATTGGATGAATAATTTAATCATCTAAATCTTAGAAACTACAGTTGAATTTAATCAATTAGTCAACTGACAGAAAAATAAATCTGCTACAATTCTGATATATTGCAGCATCTCCAGTGTGAGGATTTGTTTAAAGAATTGTAAACTGAACATTTATTATTTTTGGACAGTAAGTTGTACAAAATGAAAATGCTTTATTTGAAGACATCATCTTGGGCTTGAGCAAGCAGCAATCTGGAATTTTTTTATTCTGTATGCTAATTGATGCTGAAATAATCAATTTGTTCATCATCAGACAAGTTATCAACAGATTTGATTGTTTGTATTGACTCCTTTTCAAAAGTTTTCTCTCTTCTGATAGCCTTATAAATACAACATATTTGGGTTTCGGACTGTTTTGGCTTTGGCTCTTGGAAACTGTGGTGAGCATTTTTTTTTTTTTTTACAATTCTCTACCATAGTCTAAACAATTAATAAATTAATCATAATCTAAACTTACTTAATCATAGAACACCCACACAATCACCCACTGAGATATAAACCGGGCCACCACATCTCTATTTGTTACTAAAACCACAGACCTTGTGTCAGTGCTAAGGAACCAACAGGATGCAGCTGTAACACTCAACTGACCACGCGTGGCTGCTGCACCCCATGTGAACCTCTGCTACAATGAGCCACAAATAGCTTATAATTACAGTGGGAAGCTATGAGTAAGAAAGTACAAAGTTCTAAACATGCACCTACAGGATGAGACAAAAGCTTGACTCTATATGGCCTCAGCCTGAACTTATGGAACTGTAAGAAACAAAAAAGTATTTGTGAGAAAGTGAAACATCACAGTATCTCAAAAAAGACACGGTAGAAGACAGCTGCGCAGCAATCAGTGGCTAAGTCAGAGCACTTTACTTCAGAGTTAGGCAACAGGGATCGGCCCCAGCCAGGATCCATGCCTGGCTGCAATGTTACCCAAGTGATTAACTAGACTGAGGCAGACAGTGAAGAAAATTTTACAGCACTGGAGAACAACTCTCTCCTGACAGCCAGCTCTCTCACTGGCACATAAGATCTAGAGGGAAAGGATAAATCCCAGGAGGGGAACTGAATACATGATGGAGGCAAGAAAGGAGTGGAGGAGAAATAGGAGATGGGGGAAGACAGGGTGATAACACTGAGGGTAACACATTCATCCTCACAATAAAAAAAAGAAGCAAGAATTGTAGTGACTCATTAATCTGACGGATATGGGGAAAATGCAGGCCCATAAATCACTCCTGTGGCCTGGTAAACAAGTAACGCTTTCACTCCTTCAGTCCCACAGGCTGTCAACATTTTTTGATTGTTTGAGAGCACAAATGGTTCATGTTTACACTTGAATTGATAATTTGTATGAATTACCAGTTCATCTAATCCATGCCTTTCATGCACTGTATAAAATCAGACGTGCAGCCACCAAGGAAGCTATCTACTGAAACAAAAATAAACCTGAAATGCTAATTCAAAAGGGCAGATGAACCATCTGCAATACCTTAGTCAGACCCTGTCACTTCACTTACACTGGCTGATAATAGATCAGCACTCCTTAAAGTGATGAAAAGAGCCATTAAGCTAACATTTAGTAACACTGGGGTGATTTGCATAAATGTATCAAATAAATGATGCAGTCAAGGAGTTTAGAGGCAAGGAACAGAGAAGACGAGATAGAGAGGTGAAGATATAGCTGCAGGCAAATCTCTATTAAAGAAGGCGACAGTTGCATTAAGTTGTAAAGCAATCCCTGGGGTTCAGAGCGAGGTTAAGAGAACAGGACACATTGAGGACGTCTGGAAGGCAATGTAATTGAACAAGAGAACAAAGAGTGGGTAGAGACAGGGTGGAGGGAAGGATGGGAAAGAAGATGGCGTCAGTCTGTGATACAGTCACATAATACCAACACCACAGAGGGCACTTATAAGAGACTCAAACTCTTGCCAGGCCATCTGTGCTGGGTACAAAACATGATGCTAAAACCCAGTGTTGACCTTGACTAATGCAAATGCTCCCTTGCTACTGTTTTGAACCACCTGGTGGGTGAACTGCTGATATGCTGGCATAAGTAGACATATCCTCTAGGGATGGCAGAGACGCATTACAGGACATAAACTTAAGCACCTGAAAAAGTTTGCGTGCTCATGGGGGAGAAATTGCAGAAATAAGTCTCACTTTGTAGAACTGCTGCTGACCTTGGAGTTAAATTATTCTTGGTAGGAACAAAGTCGCCATTTTTCATACTGCGAGCCAAAATTAAAAAAAAGAGCAATAGGTATAAAATAATGCTGGGAAAGCAGCAAAATTTACTATATTTCTACTGTACTTTTATTCCATATTTTCACAGAGCACCTACCTTTGAGCTGGTCAGCCACCACACTCTGTCCTATTCTTTCAATGACCTGTCCGCCTTCATGCTGGTAGCGGTCATCCAGGAAGTTGGCAGTGGCCTGCGACAGGTGGACCTTCCCAGCCACGCCCAGCTGCTCCATTAGGTTGGCCAGGTTGACATCATTTGACCAAACATCAAACTTGAAGCGTTTCATGCCCAGAATACCGCACAGTACAGTCCCAGTGTGGACACCCACCCTCATGTTGACCATCTCCCTCTTTTCCTGGCAGAACTGTTCAATAGCTTGAATCATGCCCAGGCCCATCTCCACGCAGCAATAGGCATGGTCTGGTCTGGGTTCAGGACAGCCAGCCACACAGTAGTAACAGTCCCCCAGAGTGCTGATCTTCTCACAGCCAGTGAGCTCACAAAGTCGATCAAAACGCCCAAATAAATCATTTAGAAGCCCAACGAGGGCATGAGCAGATTTGTTGGCAGACATTTTTGTGAAGCCTACGATGTCTGCAAAGAGGATGCTGACGGGCTCCATCCGTTTCATGTTGAAGGGTCTGAAGATGATCTGGCCTCGAGGGATAGAGGTTTTCTTGCGTTTATTGTTTTTAGGGCTGGAGATGACGGCTGCTGCACCACTTGTGGAGTATCGTTTAACAGAATTATCACCTATCTCCTCATCACCTTGCTTCATGAGTTCATCAGCTACGATTCTGGGCATGACAGAGTGGATCATTCGCTCCTTCAGGGCTTTCTCCACCTCCAGATCTTTGCCATGCATGATAGCTTGTCCCACCTTAAGGAAGGTGCTGCGTGAGCGCACCTCAGACATGATGAATAGGTGGATGCCTATGGCGTGGGCACAGAGATGGAGCAGAGCTTTGGCTGGGCCCAGCCAACTTAATGTATCCCAGTCTGACTGAGAGGCTAAAGTCCAGTTATCTTCTTCCTGTGTCAGGTGCAGCCAGCCCAAACTCTCAAAAAAGACAGAGTAGAGAAACCCGAGCACGACAGAAGCGTAGAGGCGAACGTGGAGAACGCTGTACAGCAACAGAAGAACCTCGATGCAGAGAGAGAAGGTGCCTACAGGAGAAAGACAGGGGGACCAGGTGCTACCTCCCACAAGCTTGTCGTAGGACAGGTTGTATGTGGGTCCCATGCCACTGAACTCTTCCACATCGAGTGCAGGTGTGGGAGTCTCTGGGTCCCTGAAGCTTGATGTCTGGATCTGGGGGGCAAGGGTCAGGATGAAGGTTACAAGGATGAGCAGCAGAGATGCTTGGTTGTAGCATCGAGAGTAAAGCTTAGTAAAAGTTAAGAGGAAGAGAAGGAGGCAGAAAACAAGGAAAGATGCAGTGGGAAGGAGAAAGGCAGTCCTGTCACAGCGGGAAGGGTTGGCAGCAAAGTACAATCCCCAAAGGAGGCCCACAGCAATCAGGTAAAAAAGCACATAGCGGAAGCGTCGCTGGGTCTGAGGGAAACACCGTTCTCTACAGGCCTCTTCGAGGATCGAAGAATCAAACTTTGGGTCCCAGAAATGACCAGCAGATCTCTCAAAAAGCTGAGGCATCTTCTTTTGTGTGCGAAAACTTTTGACCACCGGCCTCCTGACTCCGGACTCTCCAGAGCTGCAGCTGGAGGAAATGCTGTACTTGCAGTGCTTGGATCCCCCAATGAAGCCTCCCCCGATTGAACCCAGTGGCCCGCCTCCGTACTTGTGTTTGACACTACTGCCAATCTTCACTGAGACGCCTCCATCTCCACTTGAGTCACAGCTCACTTCTGTGTTGTGAGGCAGCAGTTGTTGATGTTGGGGGGACGCCATGTTACTTTGCAATCTATCCAAAATCAAAAACTATGCAGAACAGACAGTTATTTTAAAGACAATGAAGATAAAGGAGTAAGGCAAAGTATGCTGAAACAGTATTACAATAGGGCAATGATTGTTTGCTCTTAAAGAGGGAAAAAGGAGAGCACAAACAAAAACGTTTTCAGATAGACTTCCACTAAGTTAGCAGTGTAGTGGCTGTAGAAACACCAGCAGACCTTCCAAAGATTTTGAATAGTTCATTATTGCCCCTCTTGACGTCAATCCCTGCATTCCTCTACATTCCCGTCTGTTTTGACGCACTTGAAACTGCAAGGTTCACTTGCTGCCTGCTCTGTTGCAGTCCAGGTCCACTCTGCTGCTTAGACACTGTTTCACTCATTGGAAAAACATTTGGAAAAGTCCGAGAATTACAAATTACGCGTGCGTAAAGGAAAAAGGTTGAAAAAGAAAAAAATAGTTTTAAATGGGTTCTTGAGAAGTTGAGATCACCGTAAGTATGAGTAAGTGTGGATTATCAAATGCAGTTAAAATGTGATATTGCGTGGTTTCTAGAAGAGCCTGCTGCAGTCAGTATACTTTCATTTCTGGTGCACGTCCATTCCCGCTTACCCGATTACAGTTTTCCGTTCCACTCTGTTCCACGGGGAATATTGAGTGGTGCCTCCACCACGTTTTGTTTACAGGTCTGAGCAAAACTTTATCCAAACCACATATTCCTGCAGCGTTTGCTATGATTCGCAATCTGCTGTTCGCCGTCTTGGTCGGAAATGCCAGCATTTAATTTTAAGGCGCAGGTCAACTCCAGATGACGGGGGGCGTGAGCGCAAAAACTGCCATCGGACCTTTCATTCATACCCACACGATTGTTGCTGCAGGGCCTAATCGTGACTATTTCCGTAGACAGAGGCCCGTCCTTTCCTGACTTTCAACTCCAGAGTCTCCACGTCTCCAAAACCCAGAGGGGATCGTGTGCACGGAGGTCTGCAGGAGACAAATGCATGAGACATGAGGGTTGTATTGCAAGAGCAACTGTCAGTGACTCGAGTGTAAACACGCTCCTCCAAGCCTATGCACCATCCAGTCTTACGCTCTGTGTTGATCGGTATTGCTTTGGTATCCAAAGCCACACCAAATGTCGCCAGTTCATCGCCACGGCGCCCTAAGACAGTATCCAGATTACCCAGATATCCTGACCATGCCAGTTCCCGGCTGTCTATTCTGTGTCAACGGGACAGCTGAGATAAAGAAAAATGCAGCCTTGAGAAGACAACATGAAGTGTCTTCCAGTCCTTCCTTTTCTCTTAAGTAAAGTTTGCCCACGGCAGCTCAGTACCCCCCCTCTAAATAGCAGACGACGAAAGCCCGGAGAGAGTCGGGCTAATTAAAAGGTCTCCACCTCCGCTCCACGCCTCCCCCCTCCACACACACACACCAACAGTCCCACAGGTCAAAGCAGAGTGCTGCCTTGCTCCAGCCACGTTTAATTGAATTGCACGGGATACACAAGAGAATATCTTCACACCGCCAAATGATTCCCTTTTAATCCAAGACAAACAGGATGGATTAAGGCAGCTGCATCGTCCAGTCTTTCCATTCCCTGCATCGTCCACAGAGAGATGAGATTGTCTTATCTCCGTTATCTGACCATTATCTATGCGCCGCAGCAGCTACGATACCTGCATGCAGTGTTGTTTGCGCTATCCAGGCGCGGCGGGCAAACACAGTGGCCGCAGCCGCCACCATCTTCTGTGCGCTGACAGCAGTCCAGCCGCGAGAAGTGTGTGTGTGTGTGTGTGTGTGTGTGTGTGTGTGTGTGTGTGAAGTACACTAGAAACGAATAAAGATGATTTCCGCAATTTCTTTCAAAATAAAACTCCATAACGTCCATAACACACCGTTAAATGGAAAGAGTGTACAATCTATGCATTGTTATTTTTAAATTAGAGCAAATACTGGAATCTACAGTCTACATCGCATGCCAATATCATGCAAACTGCATGCAAAATTTTGTAGAGCCTCAGCTAACCTGAAATCATTTGTTTTAATGATTACACAGATAAGCTCAGCATCCAAGTTAAACTATGGAAAACCCAGCAACACTTGTTTTTAAGTAATTTGAATATATTTTAAATATGTTTTCTTTCCAGCTGAAAGCAAATATACCACCTGCTGAGCTGTGGCAAATGGTGGTTAACATTATTGTAAAAGAAAAAACAATCCCAATTTAGGAAGCCACATTAAATCAAACCCCAGCTGGTGCTACACACATACATACATTTGTATTTTACTATCCTCACAGTGTGGCGCATATGTGAGTCTAAAGGCTCCGAAATCTGAGCCTCAACCCCAAAAAATATAAAGGTCGTTTATTCTGAAAAATATCCACATGATTCCGCTTTTGTGCTTAGCGTTGGCTTGACGCTGCCGTCTGTGTTTGGCGAGCACAGAGAAGGAAAAGAAGGGCTGAATAGTGATGGGAGGGGAGGGGTGTCGAGGTACTTGCACGCACTCGGTTAAAGGTACGCACGTGTTTTGGGAAGGGTGGGGACGTCTTTTTTTTTTTTTTTTTACCGCAATGAGCTGGCTGAGAGATGAAGCCCCTCCACCTTTCTGTCTTATCCACCCCTCTGCCCTTTACCTTCAGAAAAAAAATATTTTTTTTCCCCCACTGTCTTTTTTATATAGATGCAAACAAAAAGAGATCACATTGGAGGGAAGGGGAGTACATTATATTTAAGTGAAACCACTGTATTCTAAAATACAAGGTCACTAAACTTCTCCAAACACTCACTGTAAATGTAATAGAAATATCGGATTATATTAAGGTTGCTATGAAGGATGGAAATATTCAAGTCAGCACATAAAGACAGACTAAATTCTGTATTGCACGATTATTAAAAAAAAAGTGCTCAGGCAGCACAGTAACCTTATTTTCTATTCTCTATTCAATAGCTTGAGAGAAATATTAAGCATCAGCCCTCCGTAGACAGTACAGTAGTTTCACTGTATATTGTGAGGATGCCCCTCCTGCGATCTAACTGCATGCAGTGGGACAAATAAACAAACAAACAAACAAAAGCATGTAATTTATGAGAGAAATTAAAAGATTTCCTCTACATTAAGTTCTGTGTATGACTTACAATCTTCAGTTTTGGGGTTAGCTCTCATTAGAGCTAATTTGCACAGAGAAGTGGCAAGTTTCAAAGCACCAGAGTGAAAAAAGTCTAAAAACACAGATCATTTACACTCAACAAGACACAATAATGTATTAAATGTGTGTGTGTGTGTGTGTGTGTGTGTGTGTGTGTGTGTGTGTGTGTGTGTGTGTGTGTGTGTGTGCCTGTGTGTATGTGGTTTTGCAGGCCTACTTATTAAATTATGATCTGTGTATTTGTTGATACAAGCATATGTCTGTTTTGCATGTACCTAAAACTCAGAAATGTCTAATTAATTAATTTATTTAAAAAAACTGTTTAGTTCATGAGGTTCACCAAGCCCCCAAATTGCTGTTGGCGTTGTGTTTTAGTACTTGTGAACTTGTGAATCCTGTTTTTCCATTTGCAAGTTAGGCTCTTCAAAATCTATGCAAAATAATGTTTGAGGAAGCGTGGAAATACACTCACAGAGAAACATTTTTATTTTTAACATGTTTATAGGGGAGTGTTGGTGCATAACCTAGAGCCGATTTTCCTACCTTCACACCCAAATATATACACACTCCATTAACCACACACACCCCTCCCCACTTCCAGTCACAACAAATTGTTGGTGCATTGCAGCTACAGGATAAAACCATCCTGTTAAACCCAAAAGTAAGAGACTGTCCAGACTCTTGACCAGAGGGTGTAATAGAGGGAAAAGAAACAGGGACATGAATGTAGGCAGAGTTGTGCTAGAGAGTTGTATAAGCAAGATTGAGAGAGAGATACAGAAAAAAAGAAAACTCAGCCTGGAAGTTTGAATCTTTCTGGTTTCTTGTTTGAGTCTCCCTGATTAAGGTTTGATATTTTTATCAAAATAACCACAAAGTTTCACTACCCAGTCAATCAGAAATCTTTATTCTTGATGATCAAGCTTTCAAAATTGGGCCAAGATTAATTTTAATTGTATACCAAAACAAAAAAAGTGAATCAAAAACTACTTTAATGGGACACACATCCATTCCAGATCTAATTCACAGGTAAATTAAGATAACTGATACCGAAATATACCAAAATCACAACCACACAACGCCATTAGCCCAAGCTACAACCCCCACTATAAACTATTGCCATGATGAGAGTTAGTTAGTGGTCTGTAAAACTTTTTACACTTTTACACAGCACTCTCTAGTGGGCATGTTCTGGATCTGCAGCGTAAACATACTAAACACATCCAGTGGAGTACTCACACTCAAAGAAAAAACAGAAAATTAAGCAAATGTGAGATTAATTTCATTAGCTCCCTTTTCTTCTTCATTATGCTTCAGATTTTAGTTACTGTTACTGAATACTGTTCACTGCGGTGTTAGTGAGGGAGGACAGTGCATTTGTCCAAGAGTTAAACTGGTGCTTTTTTGGAGCTGTAGTTATTACTACTTACCTTCTTTTATAAATTAGGACTCATTTAAAGCAATAGTTTGACATTTTGGTAGATTGATACCACTTTCATGTCTCTCTCTTTCATATTTAGGTGGAGTCAGCAGCTGGTTAGCTTAGCTTTGCTAATACTTCTAAAACTCCCTAATTAGCGTATTATATCTCGTTTACTTAATCTGTACAAACACTGCAATGTAAAAGCGTCACATTGCAGTCTTAGGAGGGGTTATGAGTCTTCCTGGGGACCAGGAGGTGACCGCGCCCTTCCAAGAATTTGTCTGGCGTCAAATAAGTGTCTTTCCCAAAATGTCGAACTATTTTAAGCAATTTTACCACGCCATACTCCTGGGAAGTTCATTGAGGTAGGCTTGCATAAGAACTCGCAGCTATGACACGTATCACTGCAAAACCATTGTGGGTGTAAAGGTTAGTATTCGGGGCTTCCTTTTTCTCACAGAGGTCAGGGGTCAACTCATGAGTCCTCCACTTCACCTTTACCTCCAGCCCACAAAGGAAATCCACTATCATACAGTAATCTTGCAGTGATGGTTTGTAAAATAGTGTAGCAGGATGGTTCAGTACACATACACAGCCTACTTCAATGCCCATTTGGAAAGTTTACACAGAAAAATCAATAAATAGCTTTCTAACCTGCAGAAGAAATGGCAGAAGAAATAGCTAAAGGCAACTATAATTCAAACACATCCTTCATGTGTTATTTTTTTGTGGTCATTCAGCTTAAAAAAGCTGGTAAGCTTATCTTTCAAGGAAAAAAAAAAATCATAACACATATTGAATTTATGACAAAGACTGGCAAATTTATAGACGCAAACAGAAACAGTAATATCAGTTAAGAAGTGAAGCAGAATGAAAATACCCACCCTGCTCTGAAGACTCTGACCCTTGAACCCTGACCTCTGCTTCCAATACAGTGCTCATTTCACAGGTTGTCAACAACCAGGACTGATGAGCGTATAAAACTAAGAAAAAAAAGGCCTCATTCGTTGCATGGCAGGGTTGGTTCAGGTTTCAGTTACATGAAGAAATATTACTTAAACTTTATGTTAGAAGGACATTCATGCATCTGTTAAATAAGATGTGACGTCTAACATGCAATGTTAATGTTAATCTATGTCAAAATCAAGGTTTGGATGACTACCCAAACACAATGGTTTTGTGTAGCACCCACAAAAAGGCTACTTCAAAAACAGCTTCTGAAGCTTATGGAATTGACTTTCTGCAATGCAATTCTCAAAATTTTACAACACAAATTTGCAACTCCTGTTTCCACTTTTCCCATTTTATTCACATACAAGGGAGCTGGTATTTGACTGTTTTCAGTCTCAGGATTTTCAATTTTTATTTGATCTTGCTTTTTTTTTTCATTTCTGTGTTTCTTCACATAATTTCTTCCCCAACCCCCAAATCCCAGACAGTCCACTGTGCAAGGGAGATAGGAGGGCGTGTATTTTAACAAAACTCAGTGATCAGTGGCATGTTCTCATTTCTTCAGCACTTGTGTCCTTAAGCTGCCTTATCAAACAATGATGCTTCCCTCCCTCTATCTACCTCATTCCCACAGTCCCTAAATGCACCTCCCCATATTCTCCTGAGGAAAAAAAACAAACACTAATCTCATCTCCTCCGTCTCTTCAACAATACAGGCGTTCTGACAAAAGCAGGGTTGGCTTCCACCAGACCCCTTCTCTTCTTACTTCCCCTACTCAAGTTATTTTATTTTCCTCCGTTCTTCCGGTAGCGATTCTTTGGCTTCTCACCACAACCAGTAGCCTCGCAGGAGGACAGGCCAGGCTGCTTGCCAGAGTTAATGCTGCTCAGAAGGGCAGGCAGCTCATTGGTGATTGCCCTCTCAATCTTTTCCAGCAGGCAGCCTCCCATGTAGGAGCACTGAGCAGTCAGAGGCTTGAAGTTGGTGACCGGGTTGATGCCAAAGAAGTCACGGTAAGCATCGCGGTTGGGCAGGTCAAACTTGCTGACGTTGGTCTTGGCTAGGATGGATTTGAAAATGTAGAACTTGTCTGGGTCATCCACAATCTCCTTGAAGACCAGTTCAGGGTCACTGAAGAAGCTCATCTTCTCTTTAAAGGTCTGGACGTAACGGTCTACCAGCAGGCCATGGATGCGCACGCGGATGCCATGCTGGCGGATGAAGGCAATTTTGTTTTCCATGCGGTTTTCAATAACCTGGTTCAGATCTTCCAGGAGGGAGATTTCCTCTCGCTTGAAGAGCTCACGGCTGGTGTCAGGTGCATAATCGTATGGCCAGAAGGAGCTGACGTAAACGCGGGGTGGTTCAGTCACATTGATGAGAGGAGCCAAGCTCCAGAAAAGTGCCCCGTAGACTCTCATTAAGTCCTGGGTGGCCAGGTTGTCAGCCTTGTTTAGGATGATGCGGATCTGGGATTCACGACCCTTCAACTGCCGGAAGAGCATCTCCAGCTCCAGGCCAACGTCCAGCTTGGTGGGATCAAACACCACGAAGATCAGGTCAGCACGGTCAATGAACCACTGGCAAACATCATTGAAAGGGTAGCCTGGACAGAAGAAGGAAATGAGTTAACCACTAAATACATATATGCAGCCAGCTGCTTTGTATAAATGGTGGTATGTAAAAATCTGCAAACTGAAGGTAAAACTCTCTATTTTACCTCTCTCCTGCTGTTTCCGGTTCTCAATGATTCCTGGTGTGTCCACAAAGGTCACACGTTCCAGCAGCTTGTGGGGCATCTCAATACCGATCAGCTTTTCCAGGAAATTTTGGCCAAACTTCTCCAGGGGAGAGAAAGACCGAGAGCTGTCCGCTGCCATAACAATACCCTCAACAGAGCGGATCTTCTCCCCGTGCATAATTACAGTGAACTCAGAGGTAGTAGGCTCAGCTCCTAAAGACAAATTGAGGGAGAGATTAGCAAGAATAGTAACAAAACAATGGCTGCAATTACTGATTTTTTGGGCCACTTGTGGGCAGCTGTGAATAAAACATTGACGTCATCACTCTTTTATTTATATCTAGCAGTTACAGATTCTCGATGTGTGTCCCCTTCAACCATTGTTTTCACATGGTCATAATAAGAATATTCATTATAGCCACTTTAAATTAAACAATGGTGCTAAAATGTCATGGACCCATTGTTTTTTAAATCTCAGTGGTGCTGTCTATCCACTGGATAATCACAATGAAATTCTTGCACTCACACACCTGTAACATTTAGATAAGGCAGCTGCCCCCTTAAATGGTCCTGTAGATTTATGATGGCATTTTAGGGTTTCTTCATCCTTACTGGATTATAGTACAAAGGATTACAACATAAAACACTGTTTATTGCTAATTCAAAGAAAGAAAATCAGTGTAACATACCTGTGTAGAGCTGATAGGGGCTGTCGTGCATGCCCAGGAGGTAATTGATCATGGAGGACTTCCCTACACTCCAGGGTCCTAGGAACAGCACCATGGGCTTGGAGGTAATCTCTCCATCTGTTGGGAAAGGACAGACAACAGTGATTAAAATCTCAGCAGGATGGCCAAATGATGACAAAGATCCTCACAAGTTCATCCCAAATTTTACATGAGAAATGATAAAATAACCAGTTATGATGAGCTTTTATTTGTTGCTGATAAGAAAAGGTATGAGAACAAACGAAGCCAGTGTTTGCTACAGTCTCCATTTCCTTCTGTGCTTTATAAAAGGCTATAGTTTAAGCAAAACAACAATTCCTCCAAAATGTATTCTGTGTCGGTTTTTGGGATGAACTGTACTCTGAGAGACACCAAGAAGCATGTCAGTTACTGTCACGCTGAGTCTAGAGCACAGAGGGATAATTTGTAAGACTGAGAAACAAAATGAAAAGAAAGATAGGAAAAGAAACATGTATTGAAGCTGTTAGGCCTGTTTAATAGCATTAGAAGAATTTCAGCCATATCTCAGTGACACACGACACACGGCAGTGCCATTCCTCTGACATAAGACTAGACAGGGCAAGGCTTTCAGAGCAAGTTGCATATCTCATAACAAGCTGTGATGTGTGTTGTGAGTGGACACGGTGTCAGGGTTGTGGGGCACAAGAAAGTTCTGTTGTAGCTACTGGTCCAAACTTGAATGAACTCAACAGAGTTTTTTTAAGAAAAGAAAAAAGAGAAAATATAATTTCCAAAGAAAACCAAATAATACCAAGTGAAAAATCGAAATAACTACCGCTTTTAAAAATATTCAGGTGTGGCTAAGAGTCAGTAAATTCACTCCCAGCCAAACACTGACCACCCTTTCCCACCCCCCCACCCCCCGCAAACCTGTGTGTCATTTGCTAAAGCCAGAACTGCACATGCAACCCCCTCCATATTTTATATTTTACACCTTAACTACACAATTTAATGCTCAGTCTCTCTGCAAATACTGACTGTTAATGCCTCAACACTAACAAGCTTAAAATGTATGTTTTATTTACATTTCTTCCCTTTTAATTCTTTAATAAGAAAATTGAGTTTTGGTTGAAATTTTGAATTAGTAAATCAAGAAAGAGAAAATAAATTTTGATTCACATCGGGAATAAAACTGCTGCTGCACTGCTCTCCATGGGTTGCACTTTTCACCTATGGATCACTTTGACAACCCCCAGTCAGCCATGTTATATTGGGTGTCTCTCAAAGTGAAACATGGTAAGCAGTGAAGTGTTTATTTCGATTCAAGTGACTCACAAATGTGTGAGGACAAATAAAGGGGGAAAGGAAAGGGATGAGCACTTCAGGCAGTGCCATGCACAGGTAAGCCCTGCCCGCACCCACCTGTGGCTGAGTCCCCCAGGGTTCGTCCAGGGTAGGCTGTTAGATGAGGGGAGCGGAGGGGATGGACATGGGGAAGGACAGGAGAGGGTGGAGTACAGAGAAGTGAAGGGAAGAGGAGGTGGAGGAGAGTGAGGCGTGAGGGTGTGAGGTTTCTAGGAGAAACAGGGAGGGGTAGAGTAACAATGTGCAGGAATGGGTGGGAGGTCTAGTCTCATATTTGACCTAATGTGTCAAACATGGTCGTCTACAAATGGATGGTGTACATTTGTGGTCAGGTGAATCTTTTTGTCTGTATAGTTTTGTGCTCTTTTCTACAAAAAATAAATGTTTATTTAGAGGAATGCTGCAAGTGGTACAAGTTTGCATGCATGCCAAGCCTGAAAGGCCACAAGAGGGCGAGATTTGTTTCATTGTGGGAAAGTAGAGTTTGTTGTTGGCAGTTCAATGTGCAGCTTATAGTGTGGAACTTATAGTGAAGAAACAATAGACATTGCAAAGCCATTAAATAACAAACAAACAGGAACATTAAATTATTTTGGGAGAAAAAAGATGGAATAGAAGAAAAGGGGAAGAAATATTTTAAAGTAGCATGAATGGAGTGATTTAGACAAAATTATATTATATCTTTTTCCTGGACCAACAATGTTTTAGGGAAGTGGGAGTAAAACTAAATATGAATATATAGTGTTACTATGTCTGTGCCCTAGAGCCTAAAAATGACTAAATGACTATAAATGTATTTATACAATTAAAAATAATAAACAGCCCATAACCCCATATAACAGTGAGCCTGAGAGCCCAAAGAAAAGTAATAACATACAATAAAACCACAGAGAATTCAAAAATTAAATATGAAAAATTAAATAAGATCTTTCCGTTGGTGTGAGGATGATGTGTGTGTGTACAAACAAGTCAACAAATCAGTCACTAAAGCAACCCAAACAGAAAAACCCACACATCAGAACAAAGTGCAGACGAAGCCAAATCCTCAGCGATACCTGAGATCTCGTGCTGCCTCAGCTCATTGTACTTGTAGGCCTGCTCCATTGGTTTGATGGACGTGTGGTAGATCTTCCGCAACCTCTCTAGAGCCGCTGGAGGACAAGAAGAAAGAGAGAAAAGAATGATAAAGGTGTTATTAGAAGTTGTTAAAAAAGAAGGAGGGACAATTTGATAAGCCACAATGGAGAAGAAGGAGAGGGAATTAAAGTCGGAGAATTTTGTACATTTCTCTTGAGCACAAAAATTGCCACAGCTCCTATGGAACTTGGAACAATGGGTCCCAATCTTTTTTGCCCTATAACCCCTTAAAATTAGGGAATATCTGCTTGGGACCATTTGCTACATGTTTCACATATTAATGGTTTACAGGCGGTGTCAGTGAAAATTTAGGAAAAGTCTCATGACCCCTTAGACTTTTGTTTGTGTGAGCCTTGGCCTAGAACATGCTTCTATTTATTATGCACTCTAATAATAACCAACCACCTTCCTTGAAAATGAGCTGCATAAATAATAAAAAATTAGGATGGCATTTGTAAGTTGTCTAAGCACAGAGCTTTACAAAAAAAAATAAAAAATAACTCACCTGCATAGTCTCCTGCTTTTTCCTCAGTTGCAAGCCGCAGCGTCTCATCGATGTGAGATCTGTCTCTGAGGACGGAGGTGACATCTTCTTCTTCTTCTTCTTCTTCTGTAAAAACAACAATAGCATAATTTAACTTGCTTCCAGGCCCAAGTGTATGTTTTTAATGGTCAAACAAATTGGACACAGGTGGCCAGATTTGGTGCAAACCAGTCCAGTTGATAGTTTCTTTATGAAGCTCACACTGGGGCTGATGACAGCCAGTCATACATGTTCAATGGAGCTAAGCTACAGAGGCCAACAGTGCTGCTATGTCTGGATCCATCAATACATCCTGCATCTCAATATCGATCACCATTGCTGGGACGCAGAGATGATTGATAATCATTGATAATCAATGCCGGGTAACAGTTTTGCACTGGATGCCAATATTAATTCAGAAACATCAGATATTTGAGCTGTCACGTGATCAAATATTCTAAACCTGAGAAGTCAACTGCAGCCACTTGTACACCAGATGATCCTTCTACATCATCTTTTCTTCTGTCTTCACTTCCATCTGTCTTACCGTTATCTTATAAAAACAAAGCCTTAAGAGTATTCACTGCATGACAGCGCCCATAGAATGTCTGCAAAGTGTCTGACAAGACAATTAGCCATGCACAAATAACAGATACTTGTTGGTGATGGCAGTGTGGCAGACGAAGGGTTTCTGGAGATCTTTATTTCTGTGTTTTGAACATAACACTGTAAATAACAAGACATAACTTCACCCTGTGTGCGAACTACACATCCCTCAGTTTTAATATTAAATTGTGGTGAAATTAGTCTTTAAATATAACTTTTCTTAAAACATACAAAACAAATCTACAAAAAGGATTAAACAAACCTCTAGTTTTCATCAAAAAAGTTTGAAGTAGAACAAAGTCTAATTCTCTATGCAAAAAATTGGTGACCTTCCTTCAATGCATATACATTACATTTGGTGCTTTTGTAATTGGCTTTCATTTTTGCACCCCAGAACATATGTGCATGTGGTATCTCAATGCCTTGTGTGTGTGTGTGTGTGTGTGTGTGTGTGTGTGTGTGTGTGTGTGTGAGAGAGAGAGAGAGAGAGAGAGAGAGAGAGAGTGCATCTGAGAGAACATATCCGCTCACCAGTGTGTCATGTCCACTTTTGAACATATATCAGATTGCTTAGATCACAGCTGTTAGTACAATCAGTTCTTAATTTAGAGAGCAAATGCTGAAAATAAACAGACAAAGACATTTGTTTGGCATCGCCATGGGCTTTATAACAACAGCAAAGATAAGAGAGACACAGAGAGAGAGACAGGGGGACTTCCCCAGTTTCATAACGGACTGGGAGGGGAGCTGGACTGAGTGTTCCCATCAGTGATATACATGATGAGACAATGATGTGCAGTCCTCTGTCTTTTCTCTTCTATATTTATCCACCTATCACAGACCTAATGCACTGTGAGGCCTGTCCTTGTGTGCCCAGACCTCAGAGCAGACCCCCCTGTAACACCTCCCACACAGTTCAGACAAACCTGCTACGGCTATGAGCTATATATAGAAACAGTTGGGAAGTCTTCCTGGTTCACACTTCCATGCCCTGGGGAGTTATGGGTCTTAGTATCCAAGCAACCAGACACTCCCCTAATAGAGTTGTTAGGGAATTTTAAAGGTATTTACAGCATGTTAGTGGAATATTAAAGCTGATAGCAGCTGTAGGGATGATTACATAGCAGTCGTTCAATTGTAAATCAGACTCTGTAAAACACATGGCATAATCTGAATATTGATCTGGTTATATAAACACATCATCTGCATACTTCCTGTCAGCACAGCACAGTTAAATTCAGTTTACTGTCACAGGCAACATATTAACATGGTTTAAAATCAATCCTTGGCTCGATCTTAAAACAAACTAGAAAGTTTGATATAATCTCCTTAGCTGTATATTTCTTGACCTCCTTTCAACATTGAAGTTTTAACTAAACTATAGTACTACATGCAGGCCTGCGTGGAGGAGCATAAAAGGTTTGCGTTGTTTCCCAGGGCACGACCCTCTGATCTGGTGGCTGGCAAGGAACCACGTAACTGTGCAATAAAATCTAGAACTGACTTTTGCATAGGTGAAGCATTTGGTGGGGGAAGGTAAAATATTTTTTTTACGGGGTTACAATTGCAGACGAGAGGGCGAGAAACCTTGATAAATTTATGTTCAGATACAGATTCATCTTACGGTCACCATAGCGTATTGATCTGGGACTTGTCCAACAGATGTGACACTTTATAAACACTACTCTACTGTTATGAACAGTAACATCCAACCCTACCACATGTCACTGTTAAGCTTTGTGACTGCAGAGGTGTATTTTTGATAATAAATATCAACACTCCTGTTTCAGTGAGATTTGAACAAAATGACTTCCTTCTCTTTATTGAGAAGGGTTTTTCTCATCACAAAGCAATGATGCACTAAAAGAGCTATACAATAATCATCTCTGACTTTCTGCACATTTCACAGTCTTCAGCCATGGTGCTAAATTGCTCCAAGGATTAGCTCTATAGCTGTTTTTCTACACAAACATATGTATTATAAATCAATGTGGAAAAACTCCACCTTCTCAGAGGGCAGCAACTGTTGTGGTATTCTGCAGCCTAACCTGAAGTACAGCCACTGACCATGTGGCCAATGACTTCTAGTGTTTCTGGCCAAGAGTCAGAATGGCGCGTTGCTTTTGCCAAAAGGTGGGGGATGCATCAAATGACAAGTAAAATCATCTGAAGGCTTGTTTGTTTACAAGCTGAAGCTGAAGCAAACGTGTTTACATTTATGAAGGGGTTTTTAAAGTATAAATAGATTTACATTCAATATAATGAACTAGAGTCAATAAAGGTACAAATGAGATACAAAGTGTCCTTTCTGCTGTGCCATGGTAGCTCACCTGGGAGAGCTGGCGCCTCTTGTACCAAAGCTCAGTCTATGCTGCAGGGGCCATGTGTTCGAGTCCGACCTGCGGCTCTTTGCTACATGTCAACCCCTCTCGCTCCCCCTTTCCCTTCACTCTTCAGCTGTCCTATCTAAAGGCAAAGTCGTTTAATAGCTTATCACACCACAAGAAAGCCCAAACAAGATTTTCACTATGTGCACAGCTAAACAATAATATAATGACCATAAAAGACCCCCCAAAATGACACACACTTTAACTGAAAACCCCCGACAGTTGCTCATTTGCAGTGTGGCAGCAGTGACACACACTGCTGGTTAGAGGAACAACGCAGCATTGCTGATTCTCCCCGAGTCAACCTGCTAAAAATAAGCCTGTGTAATGTTGCTCCCAGCACGGTGCAAGAACAAGAGAAGCCAAAAGGTTAGCAGCCAGAATAAAAGGAGGGTATGAGTAATACTGCAATCCCTACAAAGATTCAGTAACTAATCTATACTAATCTATATGTTATTTAGTAATTAAATATGTAAGAGGCTATGTGTTAAGTCTTTATGCTCAATGGGTATTTTCATGGAGGTACTGAAGGATGGGGTGATAAGAAAAGAGGATGTACAGCAGCTATTGCCAAAACAATGCAAGAGAATATGGTTCATCCTTTTTTCTTTAGCCAGTATAGATCTGATTATTGCTACATGCCCATGCAAAATTGCATTTGTTTATATGATTTTTTAGAAACAACAGTAAGTGATTTCATCTTGTATCAGCATCAGTGATACATGGCAGCCATTTTGCAACCCCCGATACTCGTCGTGGCACAAGTTATGTGTAATGTCAAATTGAATCAAAGGGACGAAGGAATTAAAATCATGTGAACGAACACTTGGTGAAGATTTAGCACAAAATGGGATTACAAAGTGAGGAAGCATTTTTTTGTCAGTGTCAGAGGAGTTTTTGAGGCTAAAGTGGCTTTTGAGGAACAGATTTAATCTCTTCAATGTACCAGGCACATCCCTGCAGCACTGAAAGGTTACTCAAGCTTCTGTAACTTGACTCATCACTCAGAAGAGTCTTGTCTTTTAACACCACCCTCTTGAGTGGGCCTTAACTGCTGTGAACGTGTTAACACCTCCCGATCCAGTCAATCCCTGATGGAAACCCTGGGACAGAGGTCTGCAAAGATCAGAGAGGCAGTGTTGCCCGCAGTGGGCAGCCCTTGCATCAGCGCTCAAAATTAACCCTGCAGGCGCCAGGAGAGTTGAACCCCGGACATCTGTGCCTAGGACCATGTGTCCTCAGTGAGCCCGTTGCCACACAACCCTCCCTCAGTTTGGAGAAACATTCTGGCGGCATCAGCACATCCAGTAGGAATGTTGGTGATTTAAGCCTACCACGGCCTCAGCGGCTGGGTAAGTCATGCCTCAACTATAGATCCTTGTGTGGAAGCTATTCAATCATCAGAAAGAATGCCAATCAACTACTGTAGGTTTTTGAAACTTCTGTGCAAATATGTTGCTCGAGTTTAAAGATCACCTTTTCTTTCTCCAGATATTCGAATATATACATATAAACACCTTTTCACGTTGCTCCGCTGTAGTTTTAGTTGTTCATGTACGTGTAACAGAATGGTTTTTGATATTACAAATTATGGAGCCAATTACTATCTAATCTGCAAATACATAGCAAGAAAGAGTTCAAATAAAATGGAGACAAATTAAAAAATATAGCTTGTGAGCTGACCACCACTAATTCAGACAGTTGTAGTTATTGTTGAACATTACAAACGGACCTAAAAAATACATAATTTATTGCAGCCAGGGCTTGCCCTAATGTGTATTATTTTCTTATGTAGACATGCTAGAATGTATCTGCAGTCATTTCCATTTACACTGTATATATTAGGTATCTGTGTATGTGTAAAACCCCGGGATCATGTTCTGCTTGCAGCACAGTGGATGTAAATTGAATTAAACTGAACATGATGAGGACAGCAGGCCTGGAACCTCCAGTCAGATGATTTATCCTGAGCGTGGGGGGATTCAGGCAACCTTTCAGGCAAACAGAAAGCCAGGGGGTTCCACTGGAAAGATCAATGTAGAGGTATTGATTTTATTACAAATTTTATTTATTTATACATAACTACTTCCTCTAGCCATAGTTAGAGGTGTGATAGCAGTCAGCAGAGCTTGTGCAAGGCGTGGTGAGAAGAGGCCACGGATGGCAACAGGTGGCACAGCTTGTGAAGCTAGTACTCTCCCATAGTCAAAAATAGACCCACAATGGGCCAGAAGATGGACAGAGGAGGGGGCAGAATGGCTGCCTCCTATTTTAGGGTTTTGACTCTTAGTCAGTGTGGAGACTCAGAGACATCCACATCCCTCAGAGCTGATTGTGTAATATACAGGGTAATCAACTGAGACCTACTGTACGAGGGCAGCTCATGTAACTCTCAAATATAATACTGACACTCGCCAAATAAAATACAATTTCCCTTGTATCTCCTGTGTTTTAAACAAGAAATGCAGTATAATTCAGGCTTCATTACTTCTACATTACTTTCACACTATGTCCTGTAAACGTGTGTAATTCAGATGGAAAGTCTTTACATGAAAAGGCAGACTACTTTCTAGATTGAAATGTTGGTGTATTTTGTCTTACAGTAAAACCCTCAAAAACCAGAAACAATCACTGACTTTAAGGTTGTCACTAGACCAGTCACTGACAAGTAGACATAAAGTTGAGCGACAGGCTCAAAAGAGGGCCCAGTTGCAAAGGCACCTTACACTGAGGTGTTGATCTGATGACTCTATCCCTGCTCTCCTGTTCGAAAGCCAGGAAAGGACGTCAGGTGCCCTTGGGCCTGGGGGGGTGTGTAGTAAGACGTTCAAGTATGACTGGTGTGTCCCTTCTACTACTACAAGCGTAGGGATGTCCCAGACATGCCACATGCCACCAGAGAGAATCACGTGGAGACAGTGCGCTTTCAAATTTCCAAGTCTCCCTTCTGCAAAGTGAGGAGGCCGAAGATGTTTTTACTGTATTGAGGATGGATAGTATTACCACTCATGTACAAACACACTGGTGTGAAGAACTAATCAAGGTCCCAAAGAGGCGGTGATATACTTGTGTATCAAAAAAAGAATCTCAGGTTCCACTAATGACAGATTTTTAAAACCCCTTTCACACTCAAACTCCACATATGACATCGGACACTGAACAGAGCTTCAATACTCGCTTGGTCAGTCAGTGCTATTCACACAAGACCTGGTTAGTCTTGGGTTTCTTGCAACCTTATAATAACCCAACAGTTTCTATAGTAACTGTGTTTACTCCTGCATGACAGAGCAGTGTCAGACCCACATAAAACTCATGACTTATGTTGACCCATTCACACACCAAAAGAACACAGGTTTCATCTGCTCCTTGCTTTGGCGTGAAAAATGGAAATTATATCAGCTGCAGAAAAATGACTGTAAAGGCAATATAATGGCAAAGTCAGATATTTGAAAAGCACTTGAGGCCTTATTGCACCTGAAGGTGTGTTCACACTACTACACCAGAGCCTCATGCCTAACTGTGCGAAGAGCAAAGCAAAGCATCATTACACCAAAATGATTCTTGTCCTCAATTACAAAAGTCATGGTGTCCTTTCAAAATATACAGTTCTTATTGATTAGTTAAATCACTGCATGCTGCTGGTGTAATCAAATGGCTTCAAATGTGAGACATGTGACAGAAATGAGAGTTAGATTTCACACCAGATTTCTCTGCTGCTGCTTTCAGCTGTATTTCTCGTTAAATCATAGTGTTAGGATACAACATTAATGTCTTTGCTTTTTATACTAGAAAATATGCACAGCCCAGGGCTGTTAGGCAAACTATGATAATAGCAAATTGATTAAGCATTCCTTTGGAAGGAGATTACCCTTTCTGCTCTTCTCTGCAGAATTAGCTAATTCAATGGAGATCCTGCTGACAGCGATTGAACTAATCAATAACACAAATAATTACACACCGAGGGACAAGGAGTTCAGGGAATCTCATAATTGCCCATCACCTGCGGGTATAGAAATCAAAACTTCTGTGTGCTCTGCAGCAAAAAAAAAATCAATATGCACATGCAGTGTATTTACAGACAGAGGCCACCAAAAGACACCTGCACGAGCCTGCAGAAGGGGTCTATGAAGGCATGAGTTGCAGCCAAAGCCAGGCCCCTCCTGCCTGGAGAATGCATGTCCCTACAAGGCCAACTGCTGGGAATAAATTGCGATTGTGACAGTGCAGAGTGACAGCAGCTGTGCAGCATATCTAAAGGGAAGCATGGGGCTGGGAGGGGTGAGGAGTCAGGAGGGAAGGGGAGTTGAGCAGAGGGAGGGAGGAACTGTAGTGAACGGTGTTGGGTTTCAGGAGGCCTTCCAATCTTAGACACCTGACAGCAGCCTGGAATATGGAGGCCTGGGCCCAGGCTGTGGAGCTGAACGCCACCCCAAGGACGGACAAGGGTGACAGACAAGGGTAATGCCAGCCCCTCCAGTCAAAACTCAGAGACCAGTTCGCATTTTTAGAATGGGTAATCTGGGAGAAGTTGTTCTCACTATGACATTGAACTCCATGGTTGCCATGTAATCCTATTTATTGTGGGATTGTCATGATCCCTCTAGTTTATGATGCTATGGGTTCTCATCACAGGAAATGTTGCCCCCTATAGGCATTTTAAGTGTGGAGTAACTCTTCCAAACCAAGTTGTAGAAAATAAAATTCAAAAATGAATCAAAGAGATCACATCTATGAATGTGACAAAAAAGCTCTGTGTCCATTCAAGCTCCCACATGGCTGTTTTCTCCTTGGTTAGACTAAGACTTTCCATCAGCTGGTGCCATGCTTTAGGACAGCTGACATGCTGTCAGTCCACAAGAGAGGCTGAACTCTAGTTTGAATAATCCTCAACTGCTCGCCATCGGAAAGTCACCAAAATGTATGCTAAGGCATTTGTTCATACATCAAAAGTGTCAGGTATTAGAGTATGGTGTTTGTTTTGGGTTTTAATAATTAAAAAGAGACACTTTGATTTGTCATTTTGTACTGGGTGCCAGCAGTTTAATTATAAACGATTTTAAATAGTCCTGCTTGGTGGCAAAGAAAGACCAGGGTAACATTTCTGTCTCTGTCTATCCTCGGCTGGTGTCCCCATGACTGTCACTGTCTCCCCGTTCAGCTAGTGCCATTCCTGACCAAACTGCCCCCACAACGGACAGAAGAACCTACCTATTCTACCTACTTTTGGCCATATGAAAGTTCCGTCCTGATGACTACAACAGTCTTAATCACAGCCTCTGACTCTCTGAAGAATCACTACAATCCAGCTAACAGAGCAAGCAAGCATTCATTAACATTCATTAAACCAGCCTCTAAACTTACACCACATCACTGTTTCATTCATCAAGAGCACATCTAGTGCCCACAGTGCACCAACCTACATAAAACAAACTGAATCAACCAGATGTTTGACCCAAAAGGCTTACCAAAAGTCTTACCTGCTGTGGCCTGCAAAAGCAGCAGGGAGAGGAAACAGCAGATCAAGAGTGTACCCTTCATGATGGCTGCCAGGAGAACTCTGATAGTCACACAGACTATATATACCAAGGCAGGAAGGTTAAAGGGCATACAGCAAGAAGAGGCGGGGCACAGAGAGGGCCAGCTGGTGGAGGGGCTGAGATCTCGTGTGTTCGAGGTGTTGCAGGAGTCATAGCATGCCACAGGGACTCTACGTGTACAAGCAGCTGACTCTCCTTTTTAGAGAGGTCGCAGCTTGGGCCTCGGCATCAGTGCACCAAGACCTGGCTTTATGTTTCAGTGCTGAATCACTCAACTTCTCACTGATAATTGAAAAAAATATTTTACAAATGTGTGTTCAGAGACTGGAAGTAGCTATATTTTTTCCTTCTAAGACACTTCTAAGTATAGGACAGTTTACTGACTTAAAAGGAAAACTAGTTTGCTCAATAGTCTAACACTGAGGGAACTAGTAAAGGGGCATTTACATTTTTTTTGCTTTCTTGCCAAGAGTTAGAAGAGAAGATTGATCAGTCAGTCTTTTCATCTTACTTCTCGTCTAACCCTTGGCAAGAAAGTGAATAACAGTATTACCCAAGATTGTTGAACTTTTCCTTTAGCATGTAATTACCTCAATTAAGACAGGTAAAGAATAACTTTAAAGGTACAGTAACCCTAAGAGCTCAACACACTACAACTTAAGAAAACACATGCAAAGAAGGAAAACATCTTCTTAAACATCTGTATTTTATTATGTTTTCGGTTTCTACAGTGCATTTGTGTATTTGGTTGTTTTCTCATTTTGCAGCTTTTTTCCCCCAAATTGTTGCACATGTGCTGGCAAGTTGGTGCAGATGTTTGCTTGTGTTTTGCTTGTGTTTCCTTCACAATAAGCTGCCATGGTTGTTTTGCCTTACAAAGAACGATGATCAAATTACTGTAACGTTACTGCTTTTCACTCCACATACTACCTGCGATAAATGTGCTTCAAGTAAATGAGAGTCTAGCTTTGGAGGGAGCTGTCAACCTTATTCCAGTAAGGAACACACAATGCTCACTTGGCAGCCATGTTGGGAAGTCATCATAAGACAGCGAGAGAGCGAGGGAGGGATGAGAGCTGAGGAGAGGGTATGTCTGGAACATTAAGACCCCAGAGTAAACCTGGAATCCCTAACACAGCTAAACGCTAGGCGGATTACTGCTTTATCACACTCAAGCAGGCACACTGTGCTGAACATAATCTCGCAATTCCTTGGGAATCAACATCTCAACTGTAAATTAATCCCCAAATATGGCAGGAGTTTCTTACTCGAGCATGTCCATCCCAAATGACTCAGGAAGCTTGTCCAAACAATACAGCATGTGCATTTTGGTGCGTAAAACTCTCTTAATCTTGAGAAACTTACACTGACAGTGGATTGTGGCTGAGAGTCATGATGATTTGTTTATGAGAAAATCTGTGCTTTTGAGGAGCTTTTATGAATTTTAGTGAACATTAATGGTTTGTTAATTACAGATGACAAGCGCTGGCATCAGTCACAGTCTTTTTCCAAGTGTGTCTTCAAAATGTAGGCTGCAGCTTTGATGCTACTATCACTGGCAATGAAAAGTAACAGTGAACTAACAGCTATCAGTAATGAATAATGCCTGATAGTTTATAAAGCCTCAAACCAGTTCAGTAAGGGTTTGAACTGTAGTCGAATCCTGGCTAGAATGTTTCTGCATATTAGCAAGTAATTATGGAGGCATACCTTAATAAATTATTACTGTGTAAGAAACTGCAAAAGCTGACTTCATGTTAAAGCATACAACTTCTACATTAATGGAATGGGCCACAGCCAGTGGCAGTGACAGTCCAAAACTAAAGTCTATATGATTTTTATATATTTCATATTTGTTTAATCAGTTTCCTGTTCACTAATATTTTCTTTACATTGTATGTGCATCTTAAAGCTGTTTCTCCACACTGCCAGGACAGCACTTGGCCTAAAAGTAGTAATATTGCCATGTAGATTTAAATATAATGAGTCTAAAAAAGTTGGAATCAAAATAGAACAAAATAAAGTTTGTAACTGTAGAGCGCAAACTACCCTGTCAGACCTGGTAGCTACAACCCTGATGGTGGAGGATTGAATGCTTTTAATAAATATAATCTTTATATTGTAATTAGCATTTAAACTACGTTAACTACGCCGGTTAATGAAGTTTAATTTATCCGTTATTCCATACATGCAGACAGATGGCTCATTGACCTATAGGGTTCGATTGACATTCTTTCTGATGTGCTTCGATTAAAACTGCATACAGTGTGCCTACAAAGTATATACAGCACACTATATTTGCCCATCAACATAAACTGCTTTATTACAGTGTAGCTTTGGATGTTTGTCCAAATGCCCTATGAAGAACTACTCTTACTTGGCATCATGCCACCTTAATACCTCATATAGCTGTGCTATTTGGTTTATATCCAACAGACTAATTTTGTGCCAGTACACATTACTAATACAGTCAACTGTTGGTTTTGGCCACTCTGTCTACAGTTATTAAGTTATTGCACATTGCTGCAATACATTAAAAATGAGGAATGATGGAGCCTCTGTGGACACAAAAACCAGAGGTATTTGTGAATGAACGTGTGATGGTGTGAACAAGAGGCTTGGAATTAATGAATGCGTGTCTGGGGATGATGGCAAGAGATGCCACCTACTGTCCCTAGTGTACATTTCAACCATCACAGAGATGGTGGTTGGTCTTAACTTAGCAATGAGCTGCTGGGGGGGGTCAACAAGGGTCGGAGGAGACAAATTCAGCCGGTTATGTCATTATTAGTGCTATAATAACTGTTAATACCACAGAACAGTCAATATTTAGAGTGAAATACTTATTTTGAAGAAACAAAAACAGAAAAAAGACACACACAGGACCCAATGCGTACAAAACAAAGTACAAACTTTATTATTCTGTCTTTACAAAGGCACAAGCCTCTTTATCCCCAAAACATTTCTCTTAAAAAACAACAACAACAACAACAACAACAACAAAAACAAAATAGCTTCTTGATGACCATATTCATTGACAGGTCTAACAAAATAAAAGTTACAGAGAACAGACAAAAGGAGAGGGAGAAGAGGGAGCTGAAAAATGTAAAGGGAGACAAGAGATACTGACAATAAAACAAAGACAGCATAAAAGAATTTGCAAATAAACAAAGAAGATGTGACGGGCAAACGGGACAAGATGTAGGAGGACTGGACATGGAGGGAAAGGGGGATACACAGCTGTGCGGTTTTTACTCATAACCTCAAGAGCTTCAGCTGAGGAGATGCCCCTTTATACAGAAGAAAGAGGCAGACTCCAGTATAGTACAGTAAGTGCTTTGTAATCTTGACCCCATTAATGATCCCCAGGCCCACCCCGCTCATCTGACAATCTGATATGTCCACGTAACATTTTCTAAACACACAGAATAGTGTAAAACAGATGGCAATTCTGGGATTCAGCAGAAAACTATCAAATGCAGATACTCAAAGGAAAAAGCAAGGGATCTACAAAAAGCAGAGCTTGCAACCCACGTTTTCAATATCCAGGAATTCCCCTTTCCTATAGTGATAAGTACTGGAAAAACGTCCCATGATTTAATTTGACAGACGCGTCACTTATTTCAGTGCAGCTGACATCAATAATTTTTTTAAAGGGCAGTTCCATGACATGAATCATGATAGATGAGGTGTGTTCGATTGAACACTTATCTGTCCAGCAGTTCAAAGCTCCATCTATGCATTGATGCAGGGGATTCTAATAATGAGTTTGTCCCTAAACGCAATCATAAAATAGCAGTGATGTGTCAAAAGCCCTAAATGTAACTAGAATTTCTAAATATACCAGGTTTAACTTTTGAACATTTTATGGAATGTCAACATTTCATTGTGGATATTTCCCCCCCTCACACACACACACACATCTGGCTTTAATAGTGCACACAAAGGGGCCAAAACAGTTGCAAATCTACATGTAAATCTTAGGGGGGGGGGACATCAGGAGTGCTTGTAATTAATATACCGGCAACCTGTTCGTCTTTGAGGCAAACGTGACATAACAGAACATAACAGACAAAATAACTGGGAATATACAGTATATTCTAACACACCCCGGGTGTTTACAAGTCTGTTTCGAAGGATTCCAGTGGCCACCGAACAGCCCAGATCAAGTGTTCAGGTACGTCTCATAGACCCTAGGGCTGTGTTAAGGCTGGCTTCACAGTGCTTCCCTGCACCCACGGGCTATTAGTAAGGCGAGCTACTGCCTCCCTCAGCTACATGTCTTAATGTCCGTCAACCAACAATTCCAGGCAAAACAAAAGCACAATTAAAGTATGATCTTAGCAGAAACGTGTAAATAGCATGGGACGCTAGACAAAAAGCGCACTAAAGGACAAATGACGTATGTAAGGAAATGCATAGAGCATGTATGGTCAACCCAGTCCTCTCCATGGCACATACAGACAATTTCACTGGGCATTTTCCTTGTACTTGAAGTCTACTCTGCTTTGATAGATGTCCCAACATTTGCACAAGACACTACACTGCTATGGGCTATCAGCTAACTAGCCCTTAAGATTGAGCAAACAAGTGATTGTATGTCAGTTGTATTTGTGAGTGCTGTGCGCACATACACGTGTGCCTCAGTCTCAAGGCCAAAGTGGTGCTGCTGCAGACTGCCAGAGTCTGGGACACCGCTGAGCCTTGCTGATTCAAAACGCTAAAAGGGCACACACACACACACACACACACACACACACACACACACACACACACACACACACACACACACACACACACACACACACACACACACACACACACACACACAGTGGAAATCACTCCAAGAGTGTCCACAGATTAGCTTATTTAAAAAGCCAGGTGCTTTTATATTCAAGAGGGGCGGGTGTCAAGAAATGTCAAAGCACTGATTTTTTTTTTTTTTTTGTCAGGCCATGAGTAAAAACAAGAACATGCCAAATACACATGTGGGATTACTGGGAACCCAGCCCAGTAAAAATGGCAACAAACAAACAAAAAAGAAAGATTTGTGAACCAGTAAGCACACTCTCTGCTCCAGAGCTTCGCTTCATCTCCTGTGAGCATCAGTCAGCCATGAAAACAGCCTTTTTTTCCCCAAGTACAATCGTTTTAACTTGCTGGCTGAGGGAGCCTTAGAGAAACAGAACATGAAAAAGTAGACTTCACAAGAGTAAAATAACATTTCATCCAGAAGCCTAAAAGGTGGAACTTTGAGACAGTCTTGTTAGCTCACAGTGTCTCTCCAACCAGATCAGAGAAGGAGGTTTAAAGGATGTTCATCTTAAACAAACAAATGCTCCGGTGTTGGGTGGCGATGACGCCACACTGCTTGGCTCTTCATTGACTTTGTCTCCCATTTCGGTGGATCAGTCACATGGCTCCAGGGCCAAATAAAGAACAGCTCCAGTGATTAAAGGTGATGTTTAGCAGACATTCGAAATTCTAGTATCCAGTATGAGGGAGCATTTACATGAGTCAGTGAAGTAGTCGTTCTAATAACCTTTTAGGTTAATGAACAGACATGAGTTTGTGTGTGAGAGTGAGTGGGAAAGCAGGGGGCTAGAGATAAGCAGAGAAAAGATGCAGAAGAGACTGCATGTATGAGTGTCTAAGTGTAAACCTATTCCGGCTGCCTATCACGGTACAACATGTAAGAGTGTGTACTGAAAAGAAAAAAACAACAAAAAAACGAGTGCTTCAGTTTGTCTACCAGCCCTATTAATGTCCATTGAACAAGAGTGCTGTGGCTCTGTAGCCTCCTGTAGCCCTGGTCTGCTTGGGCCTTTGTGTGTCTAAGTGTGTGTGTGTGTGTGTGTGTGTGTGTGTGTGTGTGTGTGTGTGTGTGTAGTGCGTGGCGTGCGACACGTCAGGGATGAAACTCAGGGCAGTGAACAGTCGTCAGGCCCGTCACTGTTTGAGGCCGTGTCTGAGCCTGCCGCGTCAGAGAGGACGCGACCTGAAGTGACGATGACCGCTCTCCGCTGCTCTTCCTCGCCAGCGCCACCCTTTCCCTGGGTGCCCTCGATGTGCTGGATCGCCTGGAGGAAGAGATAGGGGAGGTAAGTGATGTCAGCGGCAACAGCACCCTCTAGTGCTCGGATCTGAAAAAAACCCTTCCAGCTTTAAGTCTGCTGTAGACTTCCGTTTATCTGGGTCTTACTTGAACAATGGTGTCCAGGTTCTGTCGAGATGTGGATACTGTATTTATAACTGATGCCGGGCCCATTGTTACCACGGTGACGTGATGGGGCAGGGGAGGCTGGACAGGTGCGGGGACAATGACCGTGGCGTGGTGGGTAGGTGCAGGGGGGGTAGCCGGTGCCATCACCTAGTGGAAAAGAGCAATTATTATTATTCTCATGTCACCATTTTACTGCGATAACCGATCATAATGGTAAAGTAGTGTTAAATGGTATCTGGACAAACCTATATAAAAATACAAACATGCTAAAACAGCGCATATACACATACACAGGCAGTTAAACACACACAGTTGGGAATACAGCTAGGCAGCATGAATATTAACCAGGCCAGATGTTGGGAATATTTCATCAACCTAAATTTCTCATGTCCATATGTTTGGGGAGAGCTTTTTCTCGCTGTGTTTTGAGCTGCCTCTAAAAAAACAAGTTTATTGGGGAGCTAGTCTGTAGGTTTTCTCCTAACATGGCGCATGTAAGAGGTACACAGATTTCTTAGTGCAACTTACAGAGCAAATTGAGGTTGACCAAAAAGGAAGCACACATGTACATGTACACCACACTTGTCAGGCCGCCCAATCTGCTGTTAACTTAAATGTTAATTAAAAGCTGCTTATTTTTCTATTTATTATTTTGCTGTATTAAAAGTTATAAAGAAAAGTCAATTTTTGACCATTGAAATAAAACTTTCCTTTATTTTACAGTATATTGACACCAATATTAAAACAGATCTAGTTTTGAGTTCATGGGGACATGATCGTAATAAAAAAGAAAATATATGTTTAAATAATAGTCATTTATTGTCACTGAGTTAATTTTGTCAATTCACAGTAATATTGATTTGAGGTCATATTGCTCAGCGTTGCTTGGGGAGTCAGAAGTGTCACATGACTGATCCAGAGTGTATCAATCATCTTTCACTCCCAGCGCCCAGCTGCCACAAGTAGTGGACGGACAGACACCACTTGCCAATTGATTTGGGGTCATGTTCGGTTAGGGTGAGCCTGCGGAAAGAGGATACTGCGGCTGTCAGGACGGGAGACAGGCACAACAGAAAGATGTGTGAGCTGCTCATTTAACACACTGTAAATGTGTCTTAGCTGTTGACAGCTCTAACTCCAGACATAAAAGAGACTGTCATGTGTGACTGTCAGTGTGGTATCTACAGTACATCATGAGATTAGTTCAGGTGTGTGTATGTGTATGCGTCTTAAAATGCAATATGCTTCAACGTGATTGACTCAAGTCTATAACATCATACAGCTACACATGGGACGGAGGATGGAAATTTGCTGCCAGCTCCCTGATTAATTTAGGCTAATGACCACAAAATAACACTGGTTTTCTAAATATACTGAGCTGTATAAATGGTTGGAAATGGTTTAAAATAGATGTTTTAAAATCTCTCTAAATGTTAGAATGCATTTGTGTGGAGTGCCACCAGGAAACTGAAAAATATATTAGAGTTATACCTAACAAAAGAAAAAACTATTTTGCTGCCATTATCATCAAAAGAGCCATGATCCATAGACAGATCCAATTTCTACATCCATTTTACATCGTATTCAACGAGAATACTTAAGATCTAAATTTGACAACTGGTCTTAACAGTCCGACATCCCTATGTCAAATGTATTTTGTTAAAGCCTGAACTGGACTTAACATAAAATTTAGGGAAGTGAACCAGTTACAAAAAAATAAATAAACTCATAATTCATCAGCTCATAATTCTCAAAAGGATTACACTGTTTATTTGTGAGTCAGACTCATATGTAAATGTATCCAACCTGTGGGCTGTGGGCTGAAGAAAGGTCCCTCTCCAGCTGCTTGTGCTGCTGCAGACTAACAAGGCTCTGTGTTTGGGCCTGCTGATCCTGGACCTGCTGGGCAATCACCTTCAGTTTGTCTGGGTACATCTGAGCATCGAGGGAACGCATCTGCCACACAGGGCAGGGGATGAAAGTGTGAGTTAGCCACTGAAAACTAGGATGGACTTACGGCTTTTAAAATTGTGTTCTGTGTTGTGTCTGATCCTTACCTGATCTTCCAGCATCATCCTGACCGAGCGCTCCTTCTCCAGCTGCTGCCTTAACTCAATCATCTCCCTCCTCAAGTCCTCAGTCTTCTCCTCCTCCAGGATGTCTGGTGAGCCAATCCCTTCATCTTTCTCCTCAGCACGCCTCCTCTTAGGGGAGGAACCACTTAACTCCTAGGGAGAACAAACGGAAATTGGATAGCCGTGTTAGATGAATGCTAAAAAAGCGATGACACTGAAAGACAGAAAAGCCTGATAGTGGTTCGGTAATGCTTTACTTGTATGATTCGTTTGAGCTGACTGTTCTGCTGCAATAGCCGCGTCTTCTCCTGCTCCAAAGTAAAAATGTACTCTGCTGTTTGTTGTAGGATGGCAGCCTGGGGAAAAAGAGAAGAAGAGTAATGTTGTTATGAAGGTGAGTTCAGACCCTCACAGCTACATCTAACTCATCACCTAGTCTTTCTTTGTGACCCACCTTACTGAGCTTCTCTCCATCGCTGTGTGGGATGAGTGTTTTAAGTGACTGGAATCCAGCATTGATGCTCTGCATACGCCGACGCTCGTTGCTGTTGGCAATCTCTCTGCGAATTCGCCTCTCTTGGTCCCGGGCTGTTTCTGGGGTCAGAGGAATGTTGGCCAGACTAGAGGGGGAGGCATAGGGGGAGAATAGCAGTGAGTTGGACATAGGAGGAAAGTAAAACATACACTTTCAGCGATATCTTTACCATAGCAATAGAACCACAGAAAATTACTATTTTCATTCATTCATTCAATACAATGAAACAAAAACATCACCGATAATGTACCAAATCCTAACTTGTTAATTAAGATCTAGTTACAAATCAATGGCAAATAACTACAAGCTACCTTAATTTAGATGACACTGTATGGTCCTAAAAATCTGTTTTTTTTACTCCCACTTCTGTTAGTCAATGGGCGTAAAGTTGTTTTCCACCAAGAGTACAGTATTCCTGTGATCACAAGCCTCTCTAACCCAACAATATATGCAATATATCTTGTGCCTTCATATGCTGTTGCTATAGGAGATTAGAGCATTTCAGCGGGTGTCTTTGCTCTTTAAGGAAGTTCACTGGAAATACTTAATTGTAATGAGGTTTCAGTAGAATGAGACTATCAGCATGGATATACACAACTTAAAGCGAATGAGAAAATATGTATGTTTTAGGATTTGGATTAATTGACCCTTAAATAATGCTATTTACCATCACATCAACACAAAACAGCCAAATGGACTAAAATGCAAAATGCGTTGCTGTTTTTACACCGGTATTTAGAGTACATCTGTTCTTCAGTGACTCATCAATGGCTACTTTGCTGCTACTACTTATCTGTGGCAATGGCTAGTTCTGTTTTGTGTTTAAACCCCTGACCGCCGTCAGCAGTGTAATCTATCTTCTGGAAGTTGACCCTTCCACTCTCAACACACAATAGCCATATAGACTCAAAAAGCAGTGCTATGATATTGAATGTTATGGGGACTGTGATAAATACAAATGCAGACCCTACGGTTCTGACTGGATATGAGTTTTTTTACTCAGATTTTATGCATATGGTGGTGTATTCTTTATACTATGACTATTACGATTTTAAAATCACACCGTTGTATTGTGATACGTATAATTAATTGCCTGACTCTTGCCAATACAAAGCCCTATTTTCTGTATGTACAATAACAGGAGTTCAACCTCATATTACCCTGCATCCACCTTGCGGAAGCATCTTTGCACAGAATGGGGTTGATGAGATTGCTCTTCTAACCCTGTGCCATTTTCGTAACAGGCATTGAAGAGTCACATTAATATGCATGCTATGTAATCCAAATTATTATTCTGAAAGGTCTTTCAGGGTGAGAATGTTTCCCACCATTGAAGCAGTACAGATATTTCTCAGGAGGCCTCACAAGCACCACACACATCTTTTCATTGGTACCATAACTCCAGTTGGCTGTTTCTCTGATATGTAATTAGAGCAGCACCAAGTTTCTTAATATTTTTACCCTAAACCCGTGGTGAAAGGACACAATATGCTGTATGTTGTAATTCAGTTGAGGGCGAACTTCCTCTAACATCCTCTATATCAAGTTCAGTATCTCTGGGACCCTCTCTAGCCAAGCTCTTATCTGTACTGACTCAGCTGCCTCAGTGCAAACACTGGGAACAATTGTGCAGACACAGATGAGAAAAGAAGTGTGTGTGTGTGTGTGTGTGTGTGTGTGCGCGTGCCACACACACACACACACACACACACACACACGTACCAACACTGCAGCAGCACATCCAGCAAACACATCAACTGCCAAAACATAACCAACTGGGCCTGGACTTCACCATATCACACAAACACAAACCACTACAGAGGAACAGACTTAGTCCTAATTACAGTGGATTAAAGCTTATTTAGGAGTTTTAAGTACCAGGCAACTAGATAGAGCTGAAGCACTTGGTCGATTAATTGATTCATGATTCAAATCAGAAGAATATTAAAATAATACATTTGTCCTTTTTCAAGAAAAAAGTCAAACATTTGATGGTTCCAGCTTTTCTCATGTGACAATTAGCTGCATTCCTTGTCTTCAAAAATATATCTTTGGGTTTTGGACAACACAGCACATTTTAAGATATCACCTTGGATAGTAAATGTATTTTTTCACTATTTTCTGATATTTATAGACCAAATGCATATTAATAAATAATTAGAATAATCACTAATTGTGGGACAAAAAGCAGGTAATCAGATTTTATTTGTATTATAGTAACACAACTGAAAATACATGTATAATTGTATAATTGTTAGACACATAAGTGTACTTATAATAGAGTTATATAGCCTCTAAAACGTGAATGTGTGTTTTTCATTAATTCCTAAATCTCATAAGAATTTGAAGTTTGCGTTTAATTGGAGTGAATTTTCCGCAGACTCATTACGAGGAATATATATTAAAAAAAATAAAAAAATAAAAAATAAAAGAGGACTACATCTCCCAGACTGCCCCCGTCACTACCAACAGGGAGCAGCAACAGCAGCGGATCCCTCCGCCTCCCTCTTCAAACAGGGCTGCGGACGTATCGACGGGCCTTCCGCGACATACACACCCCCTTATTAATAACACCACTTTTAATTTTCCTGCCTCCCCGCGAACGCCAAACGTGCCTTCACCGGACACATTGGAGGAAATAAAATCTTTAAACAGGCCAAATTAACCCCCTTCGTCTTGTCCCCACAGTGCCCGACACCACCTCCGTGTTCCAAGCAGACTTTTCGTGTCCTCCGCCATTATAACAATGCGGCAGGCAGCATGGCAGAGGTGCGGGATGAAAAAGACGCAGTGGAGGCGACTCGGAAGCGCGAACAAGACGCACGGAAACACCTTTAAAACTATCGCCACGTCGAATGGGGGCGATTTTTGACAGCAGCTGTACATTTTCACACTAAAAGTAAACGAATATAGGGCGCCACGAACAGGAAACAAACGCCAGACCCCCCCTCCCATCACCACTTTAAGCACAAGCCACAAGCATGGCCGCACTACCCACAATAACTTCAGATCGCTCTGAGCGAAATCGGCAAACCCCCACGGTGTGTGCGGCAAAAATAGACCCCTTTCCCACCGGTTCGCACACCCTTTGTCTTTCTTACGCAAATCGCAGGACCTATAGGTGACACTGGAGGGTAATTTGAGGATAAATAGGGCAAGGGGATGCGCTCCGGAGCTGGGGTAGCAGCGTGGTGTGTGCACGGAACCACGTGGTTTATGTTTGTTAGCCACAAATTACATCGATTTCGCAGTCAAATGTGCGAAATAACACAACGGGGAGGATGTTGTGGTCCGAGCCGGAGTCCCCACTTGCTCGGACGCATTGTAATTTCTGTGTTTGGTGGTGATTTATGCCCGCAGTTTCTCCCCCCACCCCCCGTGAGTGGGTCCTATACACAATAACAGATCAGATCAAGCATGTTGCCTCAGCGCCGTCGCTAAGTGCGCGTACTCCAAACAGATGTCTTATAATAATAAAAACACACCGCGTGCTGGGCGAAGCGCACGGATACGTACCTACAAAGACCTCCAATCACTTCTTTCTCCGTTTTCCTGAAATGTTGCAAGGAGGGCACCTTCTGAGCTGGTACCATGAAATACTCCATGCTCGCCTCTCGCCAGTTTGGTACCCCCCCCTCCACCTCTTAAAAGAAAAAAAAAACAGTCTCCGTAGAATTAAAAGAAAAAGACGCTGGGATAGCAACAAAAAGAAATCCCGTGATCCAACGGGGGATAAATCCTACAAGAAAGATCTGAATCCCTCGGCTGTGTAATGTAGTAGTTTCAGGCTGCTGAGAGTTGTAATGTTACTCGACTTCCAGCTGATGGGGTTCCCTCGTTGTGTGTGGCGCTCTACCTCTCTCTCTCTCTCTCCCTCTCTCCCTCTCTCTCTCTCCCTCCCCTTTGCTTTCTCTCTGCATGACCGTGTGTGTGCGTGTGTGTGCGTGTGTGTGTGCGCAGCTGATCGGATGGCTTTCAAGGCGGGAAACAGCTGGTAGGAGTCACACTGCACTACCAAAAGCCTCCTTCCGCAGAGACGGGGGACTGCATGTAAACAAAGGACTATTTAGCGCAGATATACACCGACAAGAAAGCGCGCATGTGGAGGTAAAAGGTGGATTACGTGTATTTAATAGGAATTACAACACCAAAAAAAGATAGCCGATTAATGATTTAATGTGCGTTATAGTGTTTAGTTAATCCTACAGGAATATATCAATCAAATCCTCCCTTTATATGCCTTGCTTTGGTATAATTAAGACTTTTTTTATAAAGAGGGTTGTAATTTGAACCCATAAACATTTAAAGGATCCCTAAAACGAAGGTGGGCAGGTAATTATAAGCTTTAACCATAACGCCTGGAGTCATTTTAAAAATATCTTTTATAGCAAAAAAAAAAAACCAAAACAACAAAAAACAAATAGATTGTACCTTAACAGCAAAGACTGATAGTAAATAAAGAGCGGGACTACTATTGGGGCGGATACTCACAACAGCTGCGATAAGCGAACAAGAGGGATCAGCTGACGGGTTGGCAGAGCTGCACAGCAACAGCGCACCGGGGAGGGCTTTTAGGGACAGACTGGCTGGCTGACACCACAACACGGCTTGGACGTATGTTGTTCACCATTTTGGGTGTAGCAGCGGTTGAATGGGAGGATGCACTCTTGTAACCCTAATTTAATGGGTTTAATAGAGGCTGCGACGCGCATGCAGCAAAAAAAAAAAAAAAAACAGCCACGAAAAATAGGGAGCTGTGACTGTTTTTCTTTTTTTGCAAGCTGCAGAAGGAGGCATATTTTTATTAATGACTCTACCTCACTAGTGCAGCATTACATGATAGCATCTTTAACGCACAGCTGTACATATTTGTGACCTTCATACCTTGATGAGATGTGATTTCTAAGAGAAGAACTTTGTATTTTTAAAATAAATATTATTCAGCTTACAGTTATAGCTCTTAATAATAGCCTACATAAATGTTTACTCACCATATAAAATTAAATAGGAAAATAAAATATGATAGGACATAAAATATAATAATTTATGTGCGTTTTTGAGGATATAACTCACATTTTACAAATCTTTGGAAGATCATCCAACCAAAACTAAGGATTCATTTTGTGGATATTTCACAGCACACTACTTATTTAATACAAGTTGTCATATGTCTCTCTATTCTATAACCCAGACAATGGTACACATTTCGACCTGTAGCGTATAAAAAACTGCTGAAGTCGAATCCAGAACAGGACATGATTGATTGACTGATTGATTTTATAGATTATGGTCCCAAGATGTAGAAGACAAAGAAAACACAAAGAAGCACAATTTAATAAATGAAAAATAACTGTATAGTAGTTGTATAATATATAGTAGTTGTATATAATAGTTGCAAAATGTATTATCTGTGAAATAAAAATGTTAAAACCCTTGACATTTAAAGAACATGAAACTACAGAAAGACCTCTTTGGCTTTTATTGCCTTTAATCGGTAAAAAAAATCAGTTGTTACTCATGAATACAATCTCTGAAGGCTCCAGGGTTAATTAAATCTTCCCCCAGGCTACTTTATGCCCTCTAGTGGTGGCATGATAAAAAGCCAAAGAGGCTTCTGGTGCACAGTGTTTGCAGCCCAGCATCATATAAGCACTGGATGCCACAGGGAGGAAAAAACAGATGAAATATAAACACAAATAAATATAATAGCCCTATCACCAATGCAACACCAGTTTAGGCAAAATGAAAGCTATCTTTGCAAGTTGCTTTGAAATACCATGTATGAAAACTGTGTCAGACCTGAGTTAAAGCTGGCACCCCATGGTATTCACCTAAAGATGGACTCACTTGTGTGGACGCATTGCAATAGTCAGCTACAGTATTCACTACCTGAAGAAATGATTCATTGGTTACAAGTGTTACAACAATAACAATGGGCAAAACAGGAAAACTGCATTAGTAAAACAGGAACTATGAACAGGATTGATACAGTGGACTTCCCCACACACCAGATTTCTACAGTACATTATTAAGAGAGGTGAACAAGATTAATAGGATATTTGTGTATGGACATGTAATGTACATTTTGTGTGATTTAGACTCTACATTTCCGTTACATGTTGTTTTTAAAGCCTGGAAAAAACTCACATAATAAAATTGTAATGTTTTCATATAATCTATAATAGTGTTTATATTTTGTGTAAATAAGAAGGTTAAATAATAAAAAATCTAATATCTGTAATCTATTATATGCAAAATGTTGCTGTAAATGCCATGAACTTTTTTTTCCAGAATTATTTGACAAATTTGCCCACTTATCTTTTTTTCCAAAAGTAATCTTGTAATTGTAATCTTATGACGTTGTTAATTTGGGAAATACATAGGAATAAAGGAACAATCTGAAAGAAAAAATCAGAGTGAATAGTTTTATGATTTGATAAATGGTTGGAAATGGTCACAAAGCCAGAAACACAACCACTCAATTGTTGAAATTTGATGAGATATTTTAGAGATGTATAAATGTTTATGAGGTAAAGTCATGGTAATAGTGGTTTGACAAAAAAATTACTTCTTCCTCACCTGTCACATGTATTTATTATCTGTCTGCACTAAATGAGAGCAGTATATAGTAGTGCATTTGTCTGAAGTACTGTAATTAAATACAATTTTAAGATACTGAAGTATTGGGCTTTGGAGATTATTTTCTCAATTAATCAGTTAATCGGTTGGTCAATAAATCATCAGAAAATCCTGTTACATTGTCCTGAAAGCCAACCTTAAATATTTCTTTAAATATTTTCTTTAGCCAAACCAACAATCCAAAACACAAAGATGTTCAATTTACTGTCACATAAAGCATCAAATCCTCACGACTCTCTTATCAAAACCTCATCTAAACTGTTGCTGCTAAAACAATGAATTTATTAGTCAACTAATCAAGTAATCGATTCCGATTTAAAATATTTTATAGCACTCTGTACTCTTTTACATCTCAGAGGGAAATATATACACATTCTTTAGTCAGCTGGTTTATATTTCAGATTAGGATATAATGTGAAAATCATATAATCTGTTTATAAAAGATGACACATTGTTATCAAACTACCTGCAGTATAGAAATGTGTTCAAATGTGCTCCACCTGAACCAGCAACATTAATGCATCTGTAATGATACAAATAATAATAATACAATAACAGCGTTGTAATAGAGTATATTTTACAGTGTGGTATTGCTATGTAAAGGGGTTGAATATTTGGACCACCTGACCTGGCCCTCTTTACCCAGACTGACCCCAGAGATCAGGGAGGTGCCTTTCTCCTGCACCTGAAAGAAAAAAAAAAACATGCTCATAATAAGCAGAACAGGAAAATTCCGTAAATGCTGCAAGTGAAGAAAGAAACGGTGTGTTTATTGAAATAATCTCACCGTGGTTTTGTCTGGAAGTCCGAACTTTTGAGTTATTATGTAACAGTGTTTTCACCGACAGCCCTGGCGAGGCAAAGGGGGTTGGCTGGGCAGCAGGAGAGATGGATGTCTACTTACTCCAAACTCTGGAGAAGAAAACATTTAGTAGGACAACAAACAGTGAAAATAGAGTGCTGTTATCCTTCGCGAAAAGGCCTGTTGATCGAGGGGAGCTGAGGCGGAGAGATGAGGACAGAGAAGCGAAGAGAGAGAGAGAGAGAGAGAGAGAGAGAGAGAGTTTGGAGAGGAGCCGGGGACTGCCCATGGTGGAAGGCGGAGCAGTAAGCATGCGCTGAGCTGGCAGACTCTGAGCTGGTCCTGACGGGCTGGCTGGGCTCCGGGCGGCTGTCTGTGCGCTTCTGACGGTCGTAAGGGGGAAGACTACCATCAACACACAGCGTGTCCTCGAGTGCTCAGAGGGGGAGAAGAAAAAAAAAAAAAAGGAGTCACGGGGATAACTGCGAGAAAAAGAAAAAGCAAACAGCCCCACCTCGGCATCTGGAAAAGCACCGAAGAAGGAGACGATCCTCCCCTTCTACCCCACACCCCGACGCCAACCCGCCCTATCTACCCTACCCACCACTTCGTGCCATCCCTCTGGTTTCAATCTGCCCTCCCACCCCGCCAGGAGAACCACGACCACCCATAGGAAACCCCCACTTGACCAGCGTTGCCATTGAGCGATGCGCTTTGAATTTAGGAAGAAATCACCTTTTTTTTGCGTTTTTTGATGTACAAACACAACCAGTGCTTCTTCGGTTTTTTTTCCTCAGCGGGAACAGTTAAGGCTACGGATTTGGGTGTTTACACTTTTTTGACGGGTTTCCAGTGGCGTGATAACATGCTGAATATATCATCCCACGGCAAACAGACGAGGCTGTCATTCCATAGATGAGTCTTTATTTAAAATAACCGGCTGTCACACACGCTTTTGCGTTTTTGAGCTCGTATGTTTGGTTTTTCCATGCTTAGAAATAATCCTGACAATGGTCTGGGAACGGACCGCCTCTCCAGACACCTAGTTATCTTTTTTTCAAGACGCATCAGCTCTGCATATCGTTTTTATCGGAGAAAAAGCGACGAATTGACGAGGGAGTCATTTGACACCGTCGCCGCTTGAGCCCCATAGGACTTTGCGTGCGAAGTTTGCACCGGGAAGAGGGGGGCCAAGTCGGAGATATCTCGGCCATATCCGCGGCATTTTCCCTGTAAGGTAAGCCAGGGGCCACCCCTCAGTCTTGCATGTCAAGTCTTGTGTTTTGTGTCGGCTGTCATGTTGTGTCCACGTTGGCCCGAGTGCGCCGCTACAATGTGAAAAATTGCCCGGGTTCAAACAGGGTAGTGACCTATTTTCAGAGACTCTCCAGCGGTGCGCCCATATCCTGCAGCCCGGACTCCCCGCACTGTCACAATTCAAGGCCGGTGGCGGACGTGCTTTTGCCGGCGTTTGTGCCATTTACGCGGACGCAGTGTCAGTACCTCTTTCAACCCTTTCAGCACGTCTACATCCTCTGTTAAACTAGCTCCCCCCTCCCTCAACCCTGAGAGACATTTTTTTAGAGCAGTATCACAAATCCTGCCCTATATAGGGGCGTACATCACGGCTCAGCCAGCTGTTGTGCAAGATGCAGTCTCGTACCGAGCTCTCTGATGTTCTGTCACAACATCTGATAAAGAGTTCAACGTCTACAGGCTGCTCCCAGTCACTTAAACGAGTGATGCATTGGTAAATAAAAAGGTGGCTATTAAACTGTGACCACCACATGAGATAAACACCCCCCTAAAAATCTGGTTGATTTTCAGATTTACTATATCCACATAAAAGACTATGTACGCTATCATTAAATGTTACCAAAGGTTTTTTATGTCAGAAAGTGCTGTATGTTTTTTTTTTTTGTAGTTTTCCTTCTGTCTGTGTTCCTGATCACAACAGCATATATATAGATAAGTCTACCTCTTTTCAATGTGGTTCACACATTGAGTAGAAGTTACAACTGGTAACATCATTTTATCACATTTGTTTCGACCCATTCTAAGTTAGTTGAGGCCAAGCATGTAGTGCAGGGGGCAAGGATGAGCACAGCCAGAGAGGCCTAGATAAAGAGCTATTTTCCTCCAATTAAGCAATTCCACTGTCCCTGAATCTAATTGTGTGCACACTGGGACTGGGTTTGGGATGGACCTTCTCCCCATTGGCTGCCTCCCATGGGCCCATTGTTCCAGAAGATGCCAGGGGAAAGAGCAGAGCCCTGCCAAGGCAGACCTAACAAGCCCTGTGCTGGAGTGGAATAAGGCCTGATCATTAAAAAGCATTAGGCCACAATGCAGATCGAGGCACACTCAGGGGGCTGCTGTTGTATTCTGGATCAGAGGAAGGCTGTATATTTCCAAGGTGACTGTGAGGTACTGTACAGTCAGTGAACACTATAACGTGTGGGCGCATGAGAGAAACTGTCACACAGATATCATATGAGACTGGAGGAGGTCTGGCTGTGGGCCCACTGGACCTCTCTCAAAGTATGTGGGGAAGAGGAGCAGTGAAAGAGGCCATGCAGGCTTTGTGCAGTGGGAGGACTTTGACTCCCTCTCCTCCCTCCCTCTTCCAGGCCTCTGCTATTTAATCCATAACCCCTCTCTGAACTGTGAGCACAGGTGCTCCTCACATCCACAGCCTGCTCCCCGCATTGTTTATCCAATCAGCTGATGATCAGTTCAGCCGCAGGTCAACCATAACATCCATCTGATGGCCAGACGGAGAAGCATCCATCAGCATCGGCACACTGGTTATTCAGGCGATGCCTCTCTTACACAGCACTTAGTCACTGCAGAGAAAAGGCTCTCAGCTCCACCATAAAGCCAGATGTCTACTGTGGTCCAGCTGTGCATCCCTGTGGTGGCATTCCACACTTACAGGATTTTGTGTGTGTGTGTGTGTGTGTGTGTTTGTGTTGGCAGCTTTTTTTTTTTGCTGTACATTTTCTCATCCTGACTGCATGCTTGGCCAGGTGTAGATACTTGGACAGCTGCTGGGAGCAACAGCTTGCACAGAGTTTTGGTCTGGGTTTGACACCAACTTGCTTCATCTGCTGCAATTAGTACGCCAAAGGATGGATGTACCATGAAGGCTTTTCCTCATGCCAGTCTCTGAAATCAAATCACGGGTGTGGTTGTCACCTCCCCTCCCCTGTTTTCCTGTGCCTTGAGATTTTCCCACACACCACAACTGTGTGACATCATACCCCTAAGGTCCCAAAACTGTGTGAGGGAAAGGCAGCTGCTTTATGGTGGAAAAGGTGGACCCTAATGGCATATTCCTGCGTCAGAGAGCAACCACGAGGCTTGTGGTAGAGGGATGGTGGGAACCCACAGTGCACTTGTACTTAATGCCTTAAACCAGGCTAATAAAAAGTGTACCGCATCAGATATAAAGAGAAGCATGCTCAGTCGATTCTTACATTGTGAGAACTCTCATCTGAAATCCAAGGTGACGGGACTAAGTTGTGTTTTTAACGCAGTGTTGTTGGGCCGTTAAAATATGTTTGCCAGTGGATGGGAAAAACTCTGGAGGACTAGGACTGCTATGTGGGAGTGAATGTAAGTGGCACAAACTACGCTGGGAGAGTGTTTGAATTGATATCACAGTGGGGTTCCATAGCTGCTGGGGATTACGGTCAAACTGAAAGGCAACTGAGCAGCAGGGGAGGGAAGATTATAGTGGTCAGTGAATAAGGCAGCACACAGTGAAAACCGGGCACCTGATACACACTTTCATTTATCTTCACAGGGATAAGAGCCACTTTATTTTAGATTCCCATGACAGATGTGTCCTTTCTGGGGGGTTACACTTGTACACAAGAACTCGTAGCAATTAATGCTAATCAGATTTATAATCAGACAGTGTTCTGATTCATCCACGAGGGTGCTCCACAGATGGGATGTGACTAACATTAGGTTATGTAATGTTGAATGTTGAGTTGCATGTCGCAGTTCTTGACCTTTGATTGGGCTTAAAATGTCAGAGGAGATGCATGATGTAGTCAGACGAAGCCATGTAAAATTGGCTGGAGAGAGGATGTGGTATCCATCAGATTTGGATAAATTCTTTTAAAACCCCATAAAAAATAGTATTTACTTGTATGTTAGTTAAATGAACACTGTGATGCGTTACAGTTACAGACAATATGAAAAATTTGCCTTTCATTACCAACAAATGAATATCATTACGGTTCACAATCCACCTGTTATTTCTAACTTCACCTCTTTACTTTATAATTAATTCAAGGTTCTTGGCAAATTCTCGGTTGTTTTGCAGGTGATAATGACTGTTTGGTATTCCCGTAGAAATCATAGGAGCCACGAGGCTGAAGACGTCAACATGACTCATTAAAATAGAGCTGATTCAATAACTGAACTCAAGTTCAACTTTCAAATGACAGCAGATGACTCTCTCAGCTCTCATATCATTACAGTCCAGCTCTGTGCATTTTTTCCACTAAATATTTTATCAGTGATCATTGCCATGTGTGCAGCAGTGGAGTGACACACTCATACTTTGGAGTGAGGCAGTGTGATGTGGCTGTGTGGGGTGATGGCCAGACTCCTGGACCAATACATTAAGAATAGATAAAGCGGATACAGAGCTTGACTCACACCAGCTTGCAAACTGAAGGAGACCAGTGCATACCGCTTTGTTCCCTGGCTGGCTGGGCTCACGGACCATGCATTTTTCTCCAGTTAAACTGTAACCACTAATCACCTCACGGCCTCACTGTTTCCTCCTGGAGCAGACCATTTCTGGGTCCCCAGGGTGGGTTAAAATGACCCCTTATGGGAATATATGGTCTGCCCTTTTTAAAATCACCTGCGTGGGACATCCCAAATGAGCACAGGACTCTTGCTCTTTCTGCGAGGATCCGCTATGGTGAAGTTTAGGGGTCAGTTCCTCTGCTGCAAGTCTGCAGGCCTGCATTTCCAAAATAAACACAGACAACTCAGTGCCTCACTCCAGCTACCCCACCCTACCTCTTCTCATTCTCTTTAAAGCTGCTCTCTGCTCAGTGTTGCTATCGTGAGAGAATTTCAGCTCGCAGAGCCCTTCAGACAATACACAGACCATGTCTGGGGCAGGGCGCATTGGATGAGGAAAAGTTAAAGAAAGAATACAGGAGTAAAGCCAAGACTTGTAAGAATAACAGCAATGTAAAGGAGCTGTCAGAGAAGGGGTGGAGGGAATAGAGGGAAACCTGTTTTTACAAAGTCCGTTTGGGTTTGTTTCCACCTTAAATATTTCACTAGAGATAGATAGATGATTGTACACTTGGATCTAGCTGGAACCTTTCGATATCTGGGGTCTCAGTTCAAGGAGCTGTGAGCTGTACAGTAATATGCTCACAGCAATGCGGTTTAAGTGGAGACACAGCTGGTTTGTATTATTATTTACTTGCTTGGCCAACACCCTGGATTCTCTAGTATAACCTCAATAGCACTACAGCAGTTCAGTATGACTGAGGTATGTATGTGTGTATTTGCTTGTTTAAAGAGTAAAGAAAGGGAGGAGTCGGACAAGAGGGGCTCTGCGTGTAAGTACGGGTGAGGAATAACATGCTGGGAAGGGAAAGACTGGGGTGAGGGATTGATGGTGGGGTTTTTTTTTTTAAAAAAGAAGGGAATAAGGGAGAGACGGGTGAGGCATTTCTGAGACTCAAATAAGGCTCTCAAGTCTGGGCCTGGGCCTGGCTCCCTGTCTGGGCATATCCAGTCCTGTCAGCTAGCTTCCAGACTTTGCCCCCTTCACCCCCTCCTCCCTCCCTCTTCCCCTCCATCCCCGACTCCCTGGGACTCCATCTCCTCCTCGTTTTTTAACTCAGCTTCTGTTCCCTCTTTCCTTTCGTCCCTCCCTCGCTTTCGTCTCCCACTTTCCATGAGCCCCCAGCTTCATAAGTGACGCTTACATTATATAAGACATTCTCCATCTTATACATGCAGGAAAAGAGAGAGGGGGGAGAAAAAAAAAGTTTGGCCTGTAAGTGTTTACCTTCTCTGTGGTGTTGTGGAGATGTTGCCAGCACTAATTCAATTCATATGTAGCGTGGCTGTTTTTTTCTTATGAGGGAGCCTTATGTAATTTGGAAATGTTTTAAGTTTGAGGTTATATTTGGTGAAATAAAGACTTATTCTGACCTTAGATGCTTCTACGAAATAGCCTCACTGTGTTTTATTTAGTTGGTAAATATTGTAATAATCAATAGCCATCCTGAATAGTATCTACCTTAACACGGCCTGATTACAGTGTCCTTGCTCCTTGTTTGCTCAGGTCTCAATAAATGGTGCTGTCAGTCACAGTGAGTGTTGCTATTTTTTAATTGATTCTAAATGTCAGTATTGATACAAGACAGAAGAGTGTGTAAGAGCGTGAGTATTGCCCTGACCTTCACCACTAATTGAGATCCTCTCGTAGGCTCATTCTTTCCAAGGCAACTGATATGCTGTATGATTGCATTTGTCCATAGCACATTTATTAGCCCTTGCTGCTTCAGTGTCTTTTCGCCAAATGAAAAGAGGAATCAGCTCCAGATCTTTCTGAAGCTTGTTTCCAACAGATCGCACACATCAGATGTGCCAACAAATTTAAATCAAGAGTTTAGTGCTACTCCATTTTATAGCATCATGCTCAACTCTGTCTGTCGCCATCTCAGTCGCCCTCCATCTGTCCCTTTGCATCTGTCTCTCTGCTCTCTTTTTCTGTTTCTCTCTCTCTCTCTTGGATGGAGCCGCAAAAGATAAAAGCTGTAGGGTGGAGCTTGTCACTTAGTTGAGCTAGAACACAGGAACACAGAGAGAAAAGGAGAGGGAGGGAGATAAAGGGAGAAAAAGAGACGAGAGAAAAGACTGTCATATTGACCTTGTCTTATTGCCAGCCGTGGTGGGAGGGGGCACGGGGTGGAGGGTTACTCAGAGAAAACAGGCGGTCCATGTGAGGAGGGAGAACATTGAGCTGCCGTTAAGTTGGCACAACCTCACAAGAAGGAGACAACACGAGCTTTGTGTGTACATATATATGTGAGATCACTGGCTAGGGAGGCAGAAGGGCGGTATAGCAGACAATATGGGGGGGCACATCCAAATTTAAAAAGGCAGGAGCTGCTTGATTGTCTTGTAGTGTGTGTTTGCCCCCACAACAAACCAACATCACGTCACTTTGTCTGCTAATTGCTCTCTGCTGTTTTGTATTTCTCCCCCTTCCTGTTTTCTTCCCCTTTCAATATGTTTTGGTTTTGGAAGCTGAGCCTCTGCCCTGTTTCTCCTCTCTGTGCATAAAAACACTTACGCACACATATAGACTCACATGCTAACAAACACACATTTATGGAGACACTCCCTGTCCAGAGCACATCTGGCTCTGTGTCCCCATAAGCTTCCCTCCCGCCCCCCCTTCTTGGCTCTCTCCTGTGCAGCATGGCTGGTGCACAGGTGTCACCCAGCCCTCTCCAAGGACAGGGAGTGGCCATTCAGGAATTCTGTGGTGAAGAGGCAGAAAAGTTACAACACCATAGACGTGTCTGATAGGCCTCAGCAACCCCACTCAGTGATAAAGAGAGCACCCACTAGCTCGCCCCATGCCTTGCCCCCAGCCTCCCCGAGGCCCTGTTGCATAAAGCTGTTGTTGGGATCATATTACCTTGGCTATTGAATAAGGAGACTTGCTTCCCAGGGAGTTCACTCTGTGCTGTTGGCTTATTGAGTTGCAAGCAAATGAAAGTGGCTGGGGTCAGTGCGTAAAGGCGAAAGGGGTTTGTTTCTCATGCGTGTGGTGCCATAATATTCCCGTCCAGGAAATGACTGTGAGACAGGCGCACCCCTCCCAAAGCTGGAGCGGTACCACGGCGCTCTGAACTGGTCTGAACTCCACAACACGCAGCCAGCATGCTGTGCACTAGTGTGTGTGTGTGTGTGTGTGTACACACGTAGGCATGTTTGAATGACTGTACATAGGGCGCTGTACAGTCAGTGTGTTTATGTGTGCATAATACTATATTCCTCCATACCTCTTTTCCTGATCCTTGAAGTCGCTGGGAGGATAGACCACATTAGCCCAGCAACTGGCGCTGAAATATAGCCTGGGTTTGCTGCTTATCGTACCACAGTTTCCATACGCATGTCAACCCCATTAATCTGCCCTCAGCTTGCTGTTAACTGTGAGAGAGAGGGGAGAGAAAGAAAGAGGGATTTCTGGACGTCCTCCCATTCCCTCCTGCCCAGTGGCTTAGAACTGGTGCTGGGTTTTCAACAGTGAGAGAATATAACAGACATCCCCTGTTGAGTTTAACCACAGTTGCTTTGTACACTCAGTTATGTTTTGAAAGGAGCTTGAAGCCGTGGTGGTATTATATGTGGTGGATATACTGTCATACATCCAAGTTTTTGGATGCACACCTGTGTGCTTCGTTTTGGGCTGAAGTAATTTCTCTAAAGGCTTAAACCCTTCCCTGAGTTTTAGGGAGTGGCTGCCAGTGGCCTTTTGTTTGTGTGTGTGTGTGTGTGTGTGTGTGAGTGAGTGTGTGCTTAGAGAACCTGGTATTTTAAAGATTTAGGCAGGTGCCAGTGCTTTGCATTCCTAACCTGACCTTGTGCTCATTTCTGCTGCCTTTAGGGGAGGTCTGCCTCTACAAAGCCAGCAAACCAGGGGTGAGTGTGTATGTGTGTGTGTTTGTGTATACACGCATGCACATTGCAAGGTTTCAGCTTTAAATATTTCCCTTTAAAGTGCTTTAACCGCTTTTTTCCATCCATGCCTTAGTGCATCAGATAAGATCACTCTTGCATGCATGCATCTCTACAGTGAAAAGAGCTTAGCATTCCACTGCGATCCATTATATACTCACATCTGCACTGCCCCAGCAAGGAAAGATGGAGAAAAGGACGTTCAGAGAGAACGTTAAAACAAGCATAGGGATACTGACAACGTTATACCTCAACAAATATCGCTCGAATTTCATACTGCCTGTCTAGCTGTTAGAATAATGCTAATGTTGGTGTGAGTCAGCTGGAATGACAGCATTTAGTGTGGGAGTAGCAGAGAACCATCACTTCCGAAACACAGACCCTATCCAGCAACCTTAGAAAAACGGACACAGCTGGTTAGTGGGCTGATGAGAAGACAAGGGGCCGGGATGTTGTGCTGTTTGATCCCCCAGAATCTTTCTAAAGTTCCTCTGGTACCTTTAAGAAAACTTTGTTTCAGGAGTCTTCCTGACCACATGAATATAAACAAAAACATGTTTACCCCAAGCTTTGTTGCACAAATTGTAAAATGGAGCTGTTAACTTTTATCACTGTACTTTTTCACCCACCACCAGCTCTGACGGCCTCAAACTGTTTTTACTCCCTCTCTCATTGGCTTCATTTCTCCTTTTCTTTCGTCCCCCCCACCTCTCTTCTTTCCTCTCCTGTTGCTTTCCTACTGAGCGTGGTGTGGTGACGCCCCTGCTTGGCTGGCGGGCTGACTCCAGACCCTGTGATTGCGCGCAGGAGTCGGAGGATTGCATCACTGCCTGTGGAGAGAGGCCACAGGAATGGACTGAAAAGTGGGGAGAGAACAGTTGGTCTCAGAGAGAAAGAGAGAGAGAGAGAGATGAAAGAGAGGAAGAGGAGAAAGTGATGACAGACGATTGGGATATACTGTATAGCCCGAGGAAGTAAGAAAGAAGTCAAGAGGGAACAGAGCTGAGGGAGAACATGCAAGTTTTTGTTTATGTGGAAGTACGGCAGAGAAAAGATGAGAGAGGATGCATTCAACAGACTGCAGGAGGTAGAGAGGGAGACCCAGCAGAGTTAGTGGGAGGTCAAAGTAAGCCGGGGTGGGGATGTCGATCAAATCTCTTGAGTGCAAAGACAAACACATACTTTCTTCCCTTCTCCTCTCACGGATGGAGGTATGCCTCCTGCTGTGTTCATTGGTTCCTGCCGCCCTTTGCTGCGCTATGAAACTGCTATGTTGTGAAATGCCCCACGTTATTGTAAGATTACTCACCACTCTTCAAAGCCTACAGTACCGTTGTGCGAAGGGCCTTAAGCGTCAGCGTTGGGTAGGTTTACTGCTTAAACACTCTGAGTCATCCTCCCCGGGGATTATCTGTTTACCGCTGATTGCTGTCCTGATATTGTAGTATAGATTAAAACTGTTTTAGTTGATTAAAAACTTATGTAGCCTATCTGATTTTGAATAAGGTGGGAGAAAAAAATAACCAGTGACTCACAACACATGTTGCTACACGTGGGCCCTCAATCATGTACCGCTCATGTCATATAGCAGCTACTAGGGAGTCTAATAAATTGACTGTGGCTTGGGAGAAGTTTCCTAGCCTCATGCCAATGTGCAGCCACTCTCTCCCCCTATACCTGCCTCGTCTCTTTTCATTTGTTCTGTCAGAATAGTTTGGATGATTGCTTTTATTTTGCAGAACAGATTTTCTGAAGGTATTTGCACCCTGAAGCTCTGTTCCCTTCCAAATCAATTACAGGATGAGAAACAACTCTCAAGTATTTTGCATGAGGATTTACAGTTTAAAGGTGAAGTCAAATTCTTATTCACAAAACACATTATTGTATCGATCTGATAATGCATGCTTGCTTTGAAATTCACCCATTGTCCTTCCACCCGTCCCCCCCTCCCCACCAAGGGTCGAGTCAGGTCATTGTGTCGTGCAATAATCACGGGTTTAGCAGGGCATAAGGCTTTCTGACACAATGTGAAATCTCAGTCAGATGGCTCTTTATAGATCATTTGTGGCCTAATCTCACTATACGGCAGACTAAGTGGAATTGCTGTTCTGTTGTCAGGTCCGTCTGGATGCTATTAAGATGCCTCTAATGTTTAATTCAGCCTGGTCTGCCATTAATATCAAATCACTGGCCAAAATCTACGGCAGTGTCAGTAGTGTTTTCTTTGCACAACTACAGAAAGGTCTACATCCTGTGCATTTCAAATGCATATTTTGATTTGCTAGAACGCATGTAGGTCTATAATGTTAACACCACAAGAAATTCCTGATATGTATGGCAGCAACTAAGGATTAATTTAATGATCCGTTAATCTTACAGTCTTGGTTTATAAAATGTCAGAAAATAGTGAAAAGAGAAAATTTATCTTAAACAGAGCAGCAGATCTTCACATTGGAGAAGCTAGAACCATCAAATGTTTGGCATTTGTGCTTGAAATGTTGACTAAAACAGTTAATTGATTATCATTATGGTTGTCGATGAATGTTCTGTCGATTGACTAATCAATCGACTACTTGTTTCCACTTTAGTGTCACAGCATCACATTTCTTTCTTATGATATTGAATCATGCCGTCTTCATATGCTGCAACTTGGTATTTAGTTATTTTGAAAATCATAATCCAGTATGGATGGACAGTTGGAATTGTGTACCTAAATTCATAACAAAAAGCAAAAGAACAAAGAAATGTCTTTTGGAAATCTAGGAAGGCTAATGTCTGACTGTTCATAACAAAGTTTGAATGTTAATGGTCAACCACAGAGACATATTGCTTTAAGCGCGTGCTCTTCCTTTCTTGTGTAGAAGTCCTCTTTGACAACAAACCGCAAGTGCGCCCCGCCCTCCTCGTTCTGTGCCTCCCTCCCTCCCTCCTGGCACCTTCCCTCCCTGCCTGCCCTCTGCCTGGAATTCTTCAGTGTCTGAACGCTTTGGCTGGAGGCCACCGGTAGCTCGCTGAGAAGCTTCCTGTTGCACTCTCTCCCTCCTTCAATACGTCTATCCCTCCCTTTTTTTCTTTCCTTCCTTCCTTCCTTCCTTCACTCACTCCTTTTTCCCCCGTCTCGTGTGCCTTCCTCTCCTCTTTTGCATCTTTATCACTTCATTTTGCATGCTCACTCTTTCTTTAATTTAGGTGTGATATATTCCTATTTTCTTTTTAAAACTCTCAAAGAACATGTCGCACTCTTGTTCTTTTTTCTCCCTGTTATGAAGCATGTAGACGCACGTGCCCCTCTGTCTCTGTCTTGCAGCCGTCATGACTCCAGCGCTCCAACAACTGTCTTTTTCCCTCAGTAGCCCTTCCCCAATGGCTCCAAGCATGCTGCTATTACATAACACTGTATACAATCCTGTGTCCTTTTTTGCAACAGGGGGAAGGGGAAGGAGAGAAGTTTAGATTCCGAGTAAGAAAAACTTACTTACGTGACTGAAACACCATTTATCTTGAACAAATGGTGTGAATAGAGGAAATAATTTGCAAATGAATGTATCATTCAAACCAGGGAGGGGAACAGTAGTAAGTGAGCTAAGAATAAGATGAGAAGAGGAAGATAAAAACAAACTTAAAGAGTTAGAAGAGCGGTGAACGTGAGAGAAAAACAAAAGCAAAGAATAGAGGGATCAAGAAAGAGGGAATGAGAGGCCCAGAGGAGGAGGAGGAGTGGAAACTGAGGTTTCCTGTCTGAGGAGGCGGCTGGCTGAGGAGGACAGAGGCAGGAAAAAAAAAAAAGAATCTCTCAGCTGTGTGTATTTGTGTGTTGAGTGATCCATCAGGGGTGAGGGGTGGAAGGTGTAAGCGGGGTCTGTGGCTCGGGTGTGCATGTGTCAGCGGAGGTGGGGTCACTCTCGGCTATTACCTCAAAAAAACGTCAGCAATAACAGAAGTGGGAGTGAAGGAGTGACCATTATTGGGCCTGTTTTCTTGTGTCTCCAAAACAGTAACAAAGATACGAATAATTAGATGTGAACCTGTTTGTGTTTTTCACTGTCAGTATTAATGTGTGAAATTTGCTGCAACGCACCCTTCTTTGACTAATCTCACCTGACTTTGATATGAATCCATGTTAATCTATTTACATGTATTCATATCAGTGGCTATTAAGTAAATTGCAAATGGGAATCGCTTTGCTTTGAAACGTGCAAATGCTTTGATCACTTAAATCCAATTATTCACAGTGCCGTGTGTGTATAAACCTGTTTGAAACGTGCCAAGTTGTTTATTCCTCCTTGGCCCCAGTTATACAGATGTAAAAACCCAAATGTCAGGGGTCAGAGTTTACACCACACCCACACCTCTCTCAGTCACCTTTGACCCTGTGCGTCCCACCTGGTGGATGGAAAACCAAGCAGGTCTAGACATGATGACCAATACTGCAACTGCAGGTCTTTACACATCATTGCTTAACCACAGAATTACGAAACCTAATGGAAACCTATTCACTAAACAGAGTTGTTTCCCTTCAGTTCATTAAATGTGGTCACTGCATTGTTGCACCAGAGATTTAACATTGCAAAAGGTATATTTTGGGGGGTTTCTTTTATTTAATTGGTCACCTTTTTAAAAAAATTATGCAATAGCCTTTGAATCAAGTTTCATCTCTCAAAATAAGGAGAGCGAATGATCGAACCAGTCCACACCATAAGCTTTTAGTAACTCTATAATAACTCTTTAATAACAGCATATTAATCCTAAAATAACATGGAAAACTTTTGATACTAGAGCTCGACTGATATTGGATTTGATGATTTTTTTGGGTAAATCTTAAGAACTTATATTGTCTGATATTCATCGTTGAATAAACATAAATATCTTTGATAAAGACCCTCAAAACCTGGCTGTTAAAAATAATGACCAACCTATGCAATGAACAGGGCAATTTATAGTTGAAAAATACACTTGCCAGTGAT